AAATGCACATTTTTCTGCTTGATGCGGTCAGTTTTTTACTTCCCGGGATTGGAGTACGCAGACTGTGGAAAGAAAGACTGCCGTGCTACGGAGAACGCCGTAAGAGCATTCAAGAGTTACCAAATTTCCCTTGATATAACATGTATTTCTGACGACATTCATGCATACTTTTCCGTGAAATTTCCAGATCTTTTAGATTAAATTACCTGCAAAAGTGTCTAAAAATTTCAGGAAAAAATATGCACAATTTTTCTAATAAATTCGGTTTTTATCGAAGGAAATTTGTCAACGTCTGAAAGCTCATACGGCGTTCTTCCTCAGCACGGCAGAAGAGAAGACGCAGGGTCCATCCGAGCGCGGTGTTTCCATCGTCATAAAACTATTTCAAATATTTTAGATGAACTGGCAATGATACCGGCGAGTCATTTCTATCATTTCTGCGGTGGGTTGGGATAAACGAGAGCTGAAGGTAAAATCGCAGCAACTCCAGTCAAAAGCAAGACGGGCACAAAGAAATATGGGAAGGAATCGGAAGGGGAGAGGGGAGGAGAGGAAGAGGAGAGACAGAGAGGCTTGCGGGGAGTTCTTATTTATTGTTACTGAAACGATAAATCTCGGCGAGCGGAGAAGCTCTTAATCACGATTACTTTTTACCTTTTTCCAATACATTCGGGAGAACGGGCGAGCGGGGCTTCGGACACCCACTTAGAGTCCGGCCCCCGCTCTTTTCTCTCATTTTCTCTCCTGGTCGTATGATTCTCCCAGTGCAAAATCCGTAAGTTTTCGCGGCGAGACCACGGCCTTCCTTGAAAGCTGTATATGGTGAATCAAGGTTAGTTTGATAACTCGTCGAGAGCAAATTTATTCATCAGTCATTAGGTGCTAGGATTAGCGTAAGTACTCGCGTGGGTTCGATTCAATGTCTCCAGTCATGATGCACGCCGCCAACAGTTATGACCTAAGAACTTTTTAGTCGTACACTAAAAAAAAATTCTCGGTGTTTTTACCACGGTCCGTTGGTACCTTTACCATCTCAGTTTTTTTACCGATTATTGGTAATTTTACCAAGACAGACTGGTAAGCTTACCTAAAAACCGGTAATTTTACTGTTTTTTTTTTCAGGTAAGAATACCACTTTTATTGGTAATCAATTCCCGGTAACTTTGCCATTTTATCTCGGTAATTCTACCTCAGTCGATACAAAATATTGGCATTTTCACCAAGGTCCAGTAAAATTACCGAGAAAGTTCGATAATTTTACCAAGATTTTTCGGTAAAATTACCAATTCCATAAACGGTAATTTTACCAAGAAAAAACTGGGATCAAATAGAACCCTGAATTCTTGGTAATTTTACCATTTTCTTAGTAAATACACCGATATTTGTTTTTTCAGTGTAGGTACATATATTTGGACCAAGTTCATCAGAAAGGAACTAACCTACGATTCCGAAAAAATTGAATTAAAAATGTTATTGAGTTTCACCAGCCATATATTTTCTCCTGCCAAAAACTGAAAGTGAGTCGGTGAGAACGAAAACACACCAACTCGAAAAAACTAAAATAACCGAGACACACACCAAACTGTATACAGTAGGGGAAGAAGTTAGCCTAATAAAACATATTTTCGGTGTCAAAAGACAAGCAATTAAGGACGCTTTAAAAGTTCAAGTTGGGGCACTTGCGCTAACTTCAATGACCTTCATGAAAATTGACTTTCTTGATGAAAATTGAGCATTTTCGAGTAACGAGTTGGTGTACGTGTTTTCGTTCTCGCTGATTCAAGTCTAAAAACAAAAACAAATTTGTGAAAAGAGGGGTTAAAGTTTAATTTTTACATGAAGCCTTATGCAGGAATAAAACTTCAGATCTCCTTTTCTCAGTTTCAACCTAATGTGGGTTGGGTTCTTTTTGACGAACTCGGTCCATTTAACGTCTCGTCAATATTTCTAGTCGTTGGAGGTTACGGAAAAACTGACCGTAACTCGACTGTAGCGTAAAAAGTAGTGATGCCTCACTTCATTTCTCCGCTTCCATTACCATAATTGAATGAATAATAAGAATGCACGTAAAGAGCAATAAGCATCAAAACCAGTATTTCCGGGAAAACTCCATCTCAAATCCAAGAATAAACAGCTTGGATAACTGATGTTATATTAGCGTGACAAATATATCCCTCAGGACTTTCAATTCAACCATTATTTACCGGTCGAAGGCGTTAATAGGACGTATTTCTGCCGAACGGAACTATGTGCATTATGACGTGAGCCCTGTTATGCATATATTTCTATGGGTATCGGGACTCATGTCTGAATGCACTTAGTTCTGTTTGGCAGAAATACGTTCATTATTGACTCTACCTTGTTTATTTTCAGTCATACATTCATCGATGAATCAAGTAAACAGACTAAGATCAAGAAAGAATTCACGATAACAGGAATGGTCGTGTCTCCGAGACGGGGATCATGGCGTCATCGCTTCTTTGACGCGAGGGCGTATCTCTATTTTGTTATAAGCCCCCGAAAGTATGAAGTTATATACAGAGCACAAGGCTCACGTGAAAATTGAGATACGTCTTTTCCTAAAGTAGCATTCTTCAACGGAAAAATCGCGGTATTTTGAAATTAAGTTGCGATTTTTCACGATTTTTTGGCGGTAAAATCGTTAGGATCACCAACATCAGAGCGATTGTCCTCTATCTTGTCTCCATTTTATCTCTATGAATTTGCGTTTGATAAAGTCGGAATTTTATCTCAATTTATCACGATTTTATGTTCGATAATATTGCGATAAATCGCCGTCGATACAATTGCGGTTTTATTGCAAATTTTTGCGATAGAATCGCAACTTTTTATCCGATACTATTGCAATAAATCGACAACTTATCGCGATCACTGCTACTTGGGACGTTAGATGAGCGACTATGAGCGACTGGGCAAAATGAATTAATGCTGGGGTGATGAATCGGATTTAATGATGTCCCCAAGTTTCTTTACGCGCGAGAATTCGGTATCATCATTCTTAAAAGTTAGGGACTTTGAGAACCGAAAATATTCGGTGAGGGTTACGTGGGTTAAGTGATGACTTTGGACTTCTTTCAGGTGATTCCGTAGATTGCGCAAAACATCGAAGGCGATGAAACAACCTTGTCCTGGATGCGAGTGCGGATAATTCGACGGAACCAGGGATCCTACATTTATATACGTGCGTTAAAGTCTCTCGCCCGAAACTTTCTCTACAATCCTTGTTTGCTCCATCTCTCGAGACCTCAGTTGAAACCAGTGCCATTTGTGAACCTGATCTTGAGGTCTTCTACATGTTGCTATTCGGAGGCAACACGTTCAATCAAATTATTTTCAACAGGAACTCAATCCCTCAATCAAATGTGATAGAGTCCTTCTTCTCGAACTGCGATGCTAGACTTTCGACTGAGGAAGACTAGACTTTCGACTGTAGAAAGAGTGATTTAGGTGCATTATTTCTACCCATTTGTTTCGTATTTTGTTCCATTGAGTGCAAGTTTCTAAAATAATGTTTTATACCCCCCCCCTCCCTCACAAAATTTCTTCTTTCAAAATCTGAGTGCTGGACCAACAGTAAGGCGGGACTAGGTCTGATTCGACTCTTGGTACAATGGATATCCGTAGGTCAGAACGAGTTAAATGTGTCATAAAAGTTTGCAAACATTAATAAAAAAAGATAAGTACTGTACACTACTTCTGAATCGTGCCGCAATGATAGCTACGAAAATTTAGGTATGAATCCTACCCGAAAATTTGGAATAAAGAATGCATTTGGTACAAAGTGTTCTCTTATTTTCTCCGGTACATAGTCCGGAAATATCGCACGAACATTGATCGAATATTTTTTGAACATTTCACGTACGTTTTTCGGAAATAGGGATAACGAAGTCAGGTTCGCTGCCGTGTAAAATGAAAACATCATATGAGCATTCGAATGTTGCCAAATTGCCTCTCAAAAAGTATTCAATTTTGAAGAACGTATAGACATTTTTTCCTTGAATTTTTCAGTCACTTTGGATCAAATTACAAACAAAATTCTCTGAAAATTGGAAAACGTTTTCCCGAAAATTTTTGATTTGTCGAAGGAGGTTTGACAACAGGACTCATATGGCGTTCTTCCTCAAAACGGCAAATTATCCCCCAAGTCGTCGAATCCCGAACGAAGGGACGTAACTCCACTCCTAGGCTGCAAAATTTAATCAAACAATCCAAATTTTTACAAAAATTTACACTTACGATTTTCATTCACAATTTTTTTCATTTTTGCATGAGATCAGCGGAAAAATCAGTGAACTTTTTAGTTTGAAATGCCTAGGATTCTCCGGGTCAAATTGCGACCTATGATTAGAAATTTGGCAACTCTGAAATGTGGTTACGTTCTTTCGTGAAGGAAACGACAAACTTTCCGATGATATACGTATCATACTGCCGTGCTAAGGAAGAACGCCGTATGAACTTTCGAGAGTTGCCAAATTTCCTTCGATAAAATGTTTCTTCATGAGGAAAGTTATGAAAATGTTTCTTTGAAATTTTCAGAATTTTTACGTCAAACTACGAGCGAAATCCTGTGAAAAATTGGAGGAGAAATCGTCGTTCCCCATGCGAAGGAACGTAACTCAATTCCAATGTTGCAAAATTGACTTAAACAATTCAATTTCATACACGAATGTACCTGCACGGTTTTCTTTTCGGATATTTGTCTAATCATTCATAGATTAGAGGAAAAATTAGAGACATTTTCGATTGGACATTTTCAAAATTCTCCCGGTCAAAGTTCAATTTTCGCGTGGAAATTTGACAACGTTGAAATGGAGTTACGTTCTTTCGTGGGAGAGCCGACGAAACATCGACGCATTTTCCTGAAAATTCGTGATTTGTTGAAGGAAATTTGGCAACGCCTGATGGTTCATACGGCGTTTTTCCGTAGCACGGCAGCATAGGTAACTCTATGACATTCAGGGAACGGGAAATGCACGTACCTTTCCCGTGAATAAGGCTCGCGGTGACTGCCAAGACGCATAATTGCAAAATCACAGCACAGAAATTCACATTAGTCCTCTCCATGTTGCCTTGAACTGCACTTCGACTTGATACACGACACATTCGACTACTACACAACACTATCCATGAGAGGTCGGAGGAGCAAAACAAGGATTGAAAAAGCGAGGCAGATGCATGGGCTCGGCCCAAGGCGGCGACACGGACGACGGAGGTGCGAGAGTCACTGCGCTCGCCTTAACCGCCGACCTGAAACTGTCTCGCTGCGCGCTGCGCCGCCGCCGCGCCCTCCCGCCGCCCGTCTACCAACGCCAGTCTTCTTTTCGACTCCAGATTCTAAGCCATGGTGGGAGCGGGTCATCCTGTCATCGGGGGAGCGATGCCGTCGCGTCGCGTCCCATCCGCCGCGGCCGCGGCTCACTCACCGCCCACCACTCATCCCGAGTCGAATATCTAGCCGGGAAGAAAAAAATCCCTAAATCCCAAGATTTGTCGACCGCTTTCACAGCGCTCTTTGGAGCTCTGCAACACCTAGCCGCCAAAGTCCCGTGTCCTCCCAAAAGCTACGATCAAATACCCCCCCATACACGATCAAATTCCCGAACCAATTACCATCAAAGTGTCGGGAGTGACCAGTCCTAAAATCATTACCTTGCTTACTTTTAAGATGAAAACTCTGCAGAAATGTTTCTTGCAGCAGGAAATGACGGACGGTGGCACTCCATTCTGATCGAAATTTGACGGCCAGTCCGAAGTCGATCAAAGAGGACTGTTGCATAGTGACCATCAGTCATCGACTGGTCTACTTTGATCAGAATTGGTTCGGAATTTGATCGTGTATCCAGACCTATAGCCCTCCAGGAAGGAGGCGAGACCCTCCATTGGTATCTTGGCAATGGGAAGCTTTTATTTTTGCGGCTCCACCATTCAACTGCTGGCCTACCTACCAGGCGGACGCTTAACAACGTGTTAAGTATTTCGCTTGTCAAACAAAGCCAAGTTTGGTGAACTTGTTTCGTTCATGATGTCACCCGAAGCTCATGTTTCACCTGGTAGGTGAGACGACTGCTGCCTCCATATAATGGAGATGGTGCTTGTGTGAGGGATTTGCGATTGACCATTGATTCTTTTGTAAGTTCGCGAGAAACACGATGGTGCCACTGGTTTTCTCTGAAATCATCTCCAAAGCTCAATAAAAGCTCTCAAAGTGAGGCCAAAATGGAGGGGATATCCCACCCTACCCTGAGAGTCCACCTCTACATCAAAACAAACTCTCCATGCATCGATAGGGAGAAAATACATTAGCAGGGCAGCCACTTTATTTGGGGACTCCAAAACTGAAAACACGGCATCACTGCTAATGTATTTACTCCCTATCTTTGCATGGAGAGTTTGTCTTGATGTAGATGTGGACTCTCAGGATGCGGCGTGGGATATCCCCTCCATTTTGGTCTCAACTTGAGAGCTTTTTTTGAGCTTGGGAGATAATTTCAGAGAAAACCAGTGGCACCATCGTGTTTCTCGCAAACTTTTACATAAGAATCAATGGTCAAATCGCAAATCGCTCACACATGCAACATCTCCATTGTCTGTAAAGCCCGTATCATACAATCAAGGTAGAGCTCTCAAAGTGACGTCACATGGTGGCGTCATCTTGAAACGGCAGCTGACTTGGAATACACACAAAAAATAGCTTGTTCCGGACGAAAGGAAGTGGCTTTGACGCCATGTTAGTTCACCTACAATTTTTAGTGTAGGCAACACGAGCTCCCATGTGGTCGAATAGTGGTATCGCCGTAAATGTATTCGGAGCACACATAAAATATCCTTTCATCGGAGAACGTGGAAAGTTATTCTTAGCAATTGGCATTTCGCCTACAATTTTTGGTGTAGGCAACACAATCTTTCCCGTGGTCGAATAGTGGTATCATCGTACAATGGCACGATCACTTGAAATAAACACAAAAAATAGCTTTCTGACGAACAAGAGGAGGTAGTTTTAACGCCATGTCAGTTCGCCTTCAATTTTTAGTGTAGGCAGTACGAGCGCCCATGTGGTCGAATAGGAGCATCGCCGTAAATGTATGAACACACAAAAAATATCCTTTTTGGTGTAGGCAACGCAACGCTTCCCGTATAGTCGAATAGTGGTATACATCATCGTTAAATGGCAGTTTATGGCACTTTTGGTTACTTGGAATAGACGCAAAAAATAGCTTTTTACCAGACGAGAAATGGTGACACGCCATGTCAGTTCGCCTTCAACTTTAAGTTCAGCCAACAAAGGCCCTCATGTGGTCAAAATCCGGTATACATACTGTTACGTAACGCTTAGTTTGACACCTTTCTGCCCTTTTTCACAAATTACGAAGACCCACTCATCTCTTAGAGTGTTATGTGGACCGAGTTTAACAGAAAGGAACCAAGCCACATCAGCTATTGCCAAATTTAACTGGACAATTAAATTTTTTACGATAGAATTTTTGTGCGGATTCCTGTAAAATTTTTAGGGGATTTGCCTCAAACTATGGGGAATTTTCACTGAAAGCCCAAAAATCCGCACAACCGTTTTCATGTGAAAAATTAAATCGTTCAATTAAATTTGGCAATAGCTGATGTGGCTTGGTTCCTTTCTGTTTAACTCGGTCCATGTATGATTGGACGCATTTATGCTAAAAGGAAATATGTTCATAGGGCATGTGTGCAACACAGTTCCTTTTAGCATAAATACGTCCAATTTATGGGTGATGAAGAAGATAAATCGGGATAGCTGGGGATAATTTTAGGTAAGTGGCGGGACCATGGAAACGGGATGTAATGCATGGTCAAGATCAAAGAGAAAACAAGAGTCCGGACGTGAATTGCGGAGCGCGTGGCACCCCCTACTTTTAGACGAGTCGTCTCTGATTGGCTGATTCGCCTGGTGCCCACTTTCTGGAGCCCTTNTTTATCTCTCAAAAATTCGTAATCCTAAGATTTAAGATTTCATTCTTTTATATAATGTTTGCACATGGGCGTTTTTTAGACAAACACACGTGATTTTGTTGTTCTTGTAAAATCGCCGATTCTTCGGGGACCGTGACGTCTCGCATACAGGAAATTGCATTGAGTAAGGAGACTCGAACGCATGGTTAAGAATAAAGAGTAGTGTTAAATATTTACTTAACATCATTGTTCAAGCAGACAATTGGAGATCCGGGTGGGGTTCCTCCCCCCCTCTTAACAATGGTAGCGCTGATTTTGGTAGTGCTGTATCACTCTTCCGCGCTAAAAAAAAGTCGTATGAGCCTTCGGGTGATGCCAAATTTCCTTTTAAAAATACGAATTTTTAGGGAAACTTGGTAATGGACCGCGTTTCGCAGAAAGGAACCAAGTCACATCAGCTACTGCCAATTTTAACTGAGTATGAGTAATAATTTTTACAAGAGAACGTTTGCGCGGATTTTTGGAGAAATTTTAAGGAATTTGCTTCGCACTTCGCAGAAAATTCACTGAATTCTGCACAAAAATCCGCACAACCGTTTTCATTTAATAATTTAAGTGCCCAGTTAAATTTGGCAATAACTGACGAGGCTCGGTTCCTTTCTGCTTAACGCGGTCCATATATTTTTCTCCGAATTTTTTCTAGCGAAGTCCATTTGCAATTTAGTTTACAGTATGTCTTTTCAGGAAAAATATTCATAGAATTTCCTCAAAAACGTATCTTTCTTAGGGGAGTATTCGATGAAATCCGGATGACCTTCGTTAGCAGGACAGTAATGTCTACCACAATGCTATCCATAACACCACGGAAAACCCTTCAATACCTCTTGAGAGATATTTAAACATATTTCTTCCTTTTCAAAATGACTATTGATTTGGACATGCCATAGCATATCTCGGGCAAACTTAAGCTTAATTTATCACGACATTCAAAAATAAGAGACATCTAATGTGTAAACGAGATACAACTGTTCGCGCAAGATGAATGCCCACATTGCATATGAAAAATTTAAGATGCTATGGCGTGAGTCGTGAACTCGCAATACTCTGCTCCATGCTACTAGTTTGAAGCACCATCACGAATAAGACAAACGCAAACAAACACAATATGGAAGCAGAGGGAGGAAAGGATGCTCATTTACGACGGCGCAGAGATACAACAATTCATACTTCACTGCCGTCCGTGCTGCATCAGAAAAATTCAAGGCGCGAAGGGCCAACTCCCCGAAGGCGCTGCGCGGCTCTTTTTTATAGCCGCACCGTTAGTAAAATGTATATTTTCATGATATCACTTGTTTAACAAATCGCGGCAAAACTTTATAACGGAAAAAGTAAGAGCCTTCTAGATTATCGATGCTGTCTAATTTTTTTTATATTCATTTTTTTCTTTATTCGTTCCTTTTTTATATAAAAAAAAAAAAAAAAAAAAANAAAAAAAAAAAAAAAAAAAAAAAAAAAAAAAAAAAAAAAAAAAAAAAAAAAAAAAAAAAACGACGACGCAGTGATACAACTATTCGCACTTGATCCGATAGTTCCGATATCCGGATAATCGTTTTGCATAGTTCATATTATTTTGTTTTATTCCGTACCACTTGTTTATCTTTAATCCTCGTATAAAAACCACCCATTTGCTAAATACAATTCTAGCTGGAGCGCATTTCAGCTATGCATTCACCACTGCAAAAATGTCAAAGGAAATCGACAAGGCCAGTGTGCATGGAGGCTATTTCCATTTTAATCTTCCGTCGCATTCTTAAGGCGCAATGATACAACTATTTGAACTCTCCGGAACGCGTGAGGTATCACGCCGCATTTGAAGGCGTTTTCAAAACAGCCAAGTTCCAATATCCGGATAATCGTTTTGCATAGTTCATATTATTTTGTTTTATTCCGTACCACTTGTTTATCTTTAATCCTCGTATAAAAACCACCCATTTGCTAAATACAATTCTAGCTGGAGCGCATTTCAGCTATGCATTCACCACTGCAAAAATGTCAAAGGAAATCGACAAGGCCAGTGTGCATGGAGGCTATTTCCATTTTAATCTTCCGTCGCATTCTTAAGGCGCAATGATACAACTATTTGAACTCTCCGGAACTGAGAAACGCACATCTGCACTTTCACCATCGCTAAGCCACCATAGGTACTACGAATCCATGATGTATTTGTACTTACCCTGAATGGAGATGTTGCATGTGTGAGGAATTTGCTGACCATTAATTCTTATGTAAAAGTTCGCGAGAAACACGATGGTCCCACTGGTTTCCTCTGAAATCAACTCCCAAGCTCAAAAAAAGCTCTTAAGTTGAGGCCAAAATGGAGGGGATATTCCACGCTATTCTGAGAGTCATGAGAGTCCACCTCTACATCAAGACAAACTCTCCATGCAAAGATTGGGAGCAAATACATTAGCAGTGATGCCGTATTTCCAGTTGTTTCCAGGAAATTTCGGCGAGACTAGAGTCCCTTCAGGCGAGACGATAGGCAACCCAGCAACACCCAGCAAGTGTACCGGCAATATGTACCGAGGCAATGGAAATGCCAGTCTTGCCAGTGCCGTTAGCCGTTGCCTAGTACACTTCGTTCGTATACATAGGCGGTTCTACGGGGGTGCCAGTGGGTGCCGGGCACCCCCAAGCAAAAATTAAGTGCGGTTACCGGAACCGTGAAAGAGGCCTTCTTCTTCCTTCACCTCTATTTATTGCTTTTTTAACCAGTATAGAATTTAATATAAAAAGGAACAAATTACACTGCTTTTAAAGATTCTGCATTCGCTCACACTGAGTAAAAATCCCAGCAATTAATTGAACATTTTAAACAGAATTAATATTGATAGCAGTGTTTTACAAAGATTCTACTGTTTTTTATGGTAAGATTATAGTTTTGATGGGAAATTTTGCTAAAAATTTTCTACATTGAATTTATAGGTATTTAAGTAGAAAGGAAGGAGAGAAAAAGAGAAAGGATGGTAGGAAAGGGATAAAACTTGAGGGCCGAAACTTAGGCCTCCCCTGAGCGACCTTCCCCTTCGGGACCGGTCTCCGACATTTTTCACCTCTGGGCACCGGGCACCCCCGAATATGAGGGTCTAGAACCGCCAATGTTCGTATATCCGGCTGTATCAACTAAGCTGAAGGCGCATCTTTACCCTGATTTACCCCGCTAGCTGTCTTACCTCCCCCGCCTAGAGTCGGGCCTTAGTGCGCGGTCTAGATTGTATTATAAATCAATGTTTCCAGCCCCCAAATAAAGTAGCAGCCCTGTCAATGTATTATTTTTATTTTGCTCCCTGTCTGTGCACGGAGCACAGATGAGTCTTTCTTGATGTAGAGGTGGACTCTCACGATAGCGTGGGATATCCCCTCCATTTTGGCCTCAACTTGAGAGCTTTTTTTGAGCTTGGGAGTTGATTTCAGAGAAAGCCAGTGGGACCATCGTGTTTCTCGCGAAATTTTACATTGGTCACTATTGTCGTCAAATCGCAAATACCTCACACGTGCAACATCTCCATTCACCTCAATAACCTCAATATCGACGGTGAAACTACCAAACCACGTATCTCGGTTGCGGTGTTTAAAAATCTCCGCTCACATTTTATTTTTTGAAGTAGACAAAATCAATATCATTCCTTGAAAGTTTCACAGAATTTTCTCCGCACGAAGAGGAAAAATCACGGAAATTTTCAAGACTGGACGTTAAGTAGCTTTTCATTTAAAAAATAAAGTATGACAGGAAGTCTGCGACGTCGCAAACCGAGATACGTGGTTTGGTAGTTTCACCGTCGATATGCCTGAATAAAAGCAATGTCATGTGCGACGTGAAGCAGTGCTTGCGCCTTGCTATATCTTTATTTCATTGGCTAATCGCCATTGCCTCTACGTCACTGAGTGACTGCTGTGTCACGCACGACCTGTCTATTCAATTCTATGAATTTTTGTAAACAAACAGAAACAAAACAATGTGTAGTTCAGTGTCGTCTTATCCTCGTGTTGCCCAGTTTAGTCAATTTGTTTAATTGAATCTTCAGAATTTCAATATTTCCTGGATGTAAGTATTCCATCAACGTTGGATATGTGCGTATTTTGTCTCAGGGCCCAAATTTTGTCGGCCACAATAGCCCGAAAGTTGTGAAACCTAACCTCTAAATTTGACTGATAGAAAGTTATACTCTCAATCCTAGCCTTGCGCATGTTGAGCCTTTATTTTTCTGCAGGATTGAACCATTAATTTCTGAACTGTGTAGTTCATTGATCAGCAATTCAATTGCGATATCAACTTCCAGGCTGTTACCTACGTCAACTGGCCAGTGAAATTCGGACCAAGTATGACCAATTCTAGATATTCCAACCAATTTAACTGCACCTCTCTGTGAAGAGAGGTCAAAGTCATGCAATTCTAATGTGAAAATCCTACCTTATATGGATAGCTAAGGCTACTTACTAAATAGCCAAGTTACGAGACTGGGACGTTTCAGAGTTCTAACAATCCCATTGAGGAACAGGTTCGGAATGACTGAAACCAAACTCGAAGCAAATAGTTTACTCTGGAAGTGTTCCCTCTTGAAATTATTTCAGAAAGATATTGCTATGTACTTGCGTTTTAAAGAGAGATCATAATATAATCAAGCTGAGTGCAGTTGGGTCAAGTAAGATAGTGATTGTGAGTAGAGCTGCGCATTAAGGGCAAAATGTCATCCCTCCTGGAAGAATGGGGGAGGGGGTGGAACTGGGGTTGCTAGGGCCCTGAAACCTACCAGCTTCGTGAGTCATCTATTTTTTAGGCGTGATCAAGTACCTATATTTTGAGTGATTTTTGATCCTTGACATGTTTCGGGCTACAGCATTTTATTCATTTTTGTTTAGCTCTGAATCAGTATCACTCAACAGATCAATGTATAGATTTATATGATACTATTGAGTGATGATGTACAAGAAGACATGGTACGACACAAGATACTTATCTAGTTTGTCTTAACATGTGATGAAGGAGTTGTAGGGTGGCATAAACGAGTCATGCCGTTACTTAGGATACTGAAAATCACCGGTGCAAAACATACCTGATCTTTTTTCTGCAGATCACAGTAAATGTGAGGAAGACGTTTACTTAATTTTAAAGTAATTTTAGCCAATTACCAGTTGCTTTTAAACTCACATTCAGCAAATTGCATTGATCAAGCTAAATTTAGGGCAAATTTCAAGTTGTAAGCTATTTAAATGAGACCTATCATAGATGTACCATTTTACAAGATGCATTAAAATAGGCAGGATTCCCAGGTCAAATTTCCAAAAGTCAGCACTGAACCTGAAAAAAAAAATCAGGACTATGCCTAATAATCAGCACAATCGCAGGCATCTACATTGGTTTGTTCTGCTAGTGGGTTAGTAGAAATCTCAGTAGGCGTACATCCCTTCACACTCCTGGCTATCCAGAAATCGTTAACAAGAAATGTCATTTCAGTTTATTTTAAATGGAGGAAAAAACATGAGCAACTTTACACAACAGCATTTTACTTATTAATAATGTATTCTTGATTTTAATTTCAGAGGGCAGTCTGGTCCAAAGAGGTAGAACAGTCAAACAATGCCAAAACTACGAGATGAAGATATCAACTTGAACAATACCGTTGTTAGCTTGAAACACAGTGCCGCAAGACTAACAGCATCGTCTGCCAAAGTCGATGAAGTTCTAAAGAATGCTGCCCCAAAACAACCATTCAAAAGCCACAAAAGACTAGCCAAAGAGAGGAAAATTGAAAGGACCAAAACTAAAGGTGAAATGTGGTTTCATATGCCGCGTCAAAAACTTACAGAAAATGTGAAAAAGGATTTAGAGATATTGAGAATGAGAGGAGCTTTAGATACAAAACATTTCTACAAGAAAAATGATCGAGAAGTGTTGCCTAAATATTTCCAAGTAGGTCATGTAGTCGATTCTCCTGTTGATTACTACAGTAGCAGAGTCCCGAAGAAAGAAAGGAGGAAAACAATGGTGGAAGAATTATTAGCTGATGCTGAATTTCAGCAGAAAAGTAAGAAAAAGTACAGGGCAATAGTATCAGAGAAGATCAAAACAAATCATTACAAACAGAGGAAGATATGATACTTTTTCCTGGCATTTTCTGAGTTTGCCATCATACCACTTCCTATTATCTGTGAATACCTCCTCGTTCTAAGGAGAATTTGTGTTGACTTGTTGAAGGTTAAAAATTGTAACTTGTTCATCATTTCTTGATTGTAAAAAATAATTGTTTTAATTTGATTAATTAAACTTCTTGAAATTTTTTAATTTGAGTAATCCTTTGCTTCTTTCATGTTGCGATAGTTAATGATAATGAATGTCTTGTCTTATACACGGTGATCTAAATGAACTCAAAAAACTTAAATACTTGAATCATTAAATAATTTAAATTTGTAAACGTACCAATTTTGGAAATTAGAAATAATCATCTTTTTTTGTTATATTTTGCAACCACCAGCAGCAGATATGACCCTCGTAACCATTAAACATTTTGAGATAAAGACTTGAAATTTGGTGGTCAAAGAAAATGACTTTTGGGAACCCCTTAAATTCTGAAGATACCATCCTGATGAGGAGCAAGAATCTCATGGGTTACAGGGGTGGTACGCGACTTTTGAATCACCCTGTAGATTGGCAAAAATATACTTCTGTTACTAGGCTACACATGGGGCGTTATCTGTAACAACAGCTCTCAAGGTTTGGAATGTTGAGGAAATTGCAATTAAAATTTTGAAAGCCCTGTATTAGGTGCCATTGCAACCAAAAGGATTCCACTTAAGCATTTTGAGTAGGTATAGCAAACCCTCTGTTGCTAAATGCTCCGAACAGATTTTATTTGTATCTAAAAATGAGTGGGTCAGAGCAATTGTTAAGAAAGTCAACATCCTATGTTTTTACAGATAACTCCAATTTTGTTTTAAAAAGAATCTACCAATCTTCTGAAACATTTCTTTCAAAACAATAAATAACTTATGGTATATGTTCATATTTTGATATAGGTTAAACCAGATTCTTCAAGCAATGTGTTCAACCATGATCATCCTCCTCCCTCCTCATAAGTTAGAAAGTACTTGGTCGTATGTGTGTTTGTAATTACCAAAACAGTTCTGAAGGGGAGTAATATTATGTAGTCTGAGGTACCTACATTTTTTTCAACTTCAGTTATCAATATGGTGCAGTTTTCAATAGTAATGGAAAGGAGAACTTGTTCTTCCTATAATTTTCAATCATTCAATTTTTTTCATACAGATTTTTGTCTCGTAAATCATTATAATAAAATTGTAAGTGTTGGTACAAAAAATATTAAGTGAAGAATAAACTGCAAAAACTTGCAAAAGGAAATGAACTAGTTTTGGTACTTAAATGAAAGCTGATTTTCAGGGAATGGAAAGAACCACCAACCAGAACTCGTACAGTTAAAGATTTGAAAGAAATTGCAAAGCAGAAAAAAGTATCGAAGGTCATTAAAAAATGAAAAACTGAGAACTAATTTAATAGAGAGAGAGGTTCACCATATAAATATGTAGTGACATTATGAGAGCGACTTGGTATTAAACAAGTTAAAAGGGATGGTGAAAGCATGAAGATAGGTATCTTTTGTAACTTTATATTATTAAACGTCGTTTAACCGGAGTATCTCATTTGCCACAGAGATGACTCACTTGAGATGATATGTCTCAGATTCTATGCAGGGTGAGGCTGTTGAAAAACATTGAACTAGCTGTCAAGGAGTTTGGCAGATTTGATTGATTTTCTTGAACCAAAAGTCAATAATAACCCTTACCCATATACTTCTGCTAAAAAAAAAAAAAAACCCTTTTACGCATGAGTTTGAAGAATTGCTGGAGGAAAAAAAATTGCAAAAATTCGGAGGGATAGAAACAGAATTTGTCTACAAAAACAAGCATCGCCCTCAATCTCTGTATTGAATGTTAATCTAAAAGCCAAATCTTTTTTTCATTTCTCTGCATCATGGAATTTTTTTCTTTTTGAATGATGACACACTAATTAAAAATCTTACACTAATGAACAGGGACTATTGTTTGTTTTATAGGCTGATAAGTCAAAATCTACCAAAGTATTTGACTTAATTGCTGTGAGCTATCGCTCACTAGTTTGACCACACCACTAGCCCCCAGCACTTGACAAATCACCCCAACCGAGGATTAGAGGAGTTAAAGTACCTATGTAGTGTCTCTCATTCAATGAAAACTCGGAATTTAATTTATGTACTAAAAAATACCACAGGGGTAAATACATATAATGGCTGAAAGTATAAATGATTATATCTATGGGCAAAGTGCAAAAGCACATAACTCCTTTTGCAACATTGCAGACTTCCTGTCATTATTTCTTCTTTGGAAAACTAAGTTATCAGCATAATTTCTTAAAAACTTGCTTGATTTTACTTCTCTTTTAATGAAATATTCTGCATACATTCCAAGCTGTAAAGTTGGCTTGTTTCCCTTTAAAAAAACAAAATGAAAGAAATTTTGAAACGTCACAAAAGAGCTACGCGCTTCAGCACTTAGGTTATCAGTGCCAAGGTCACTAATTTTTTTTTTCAATAAGACTTAGTGCAGTTTCATTAGTGCTGACTCATCTCACTTATTTTCCTTTATCCTTGGAGGGAAAGTGACCCAGAAATCTGTACCAAACTACTAATACTGTACCAAACTACTAATACTCATGGAGAATCTTAAAAAGAAAAACTTACACCAATAGCTAGCAACATTGAGAGTTTCTGAATACCTTCAGCCGCTTGACCTTTCATGAATGGTTTGCAAAGAGGGCAATTAAAGAAAAAAAGAGTGAATTATGGTACAATCAAGTTTTAATAGCATAAGAAAATATATTACATCAGAATATACAGTCAAAGTTTCATTTTTTAACAGATCCCCATTTCCCTAAGATATTATCATCTTTACCTTTTTTACTTATGCTCAATTTTTTATTATTACTAGTTTTTCGACTAATTTTCTTTGTTAAGGCTGGCTGTTTGCACTTTTCTAGTATCTCGTCCCTCTTGCTAATCTCTTGAATTCTTCTTTTCCTCATTACCTTCAAATCTTTGTAATTGTGATACTTTTTTGGGGCTGGTTTTGCACCCAACTCAACAAGGATAGCCTCCTTGGCCACTTTCTGTTTTCTACGTGTGAAACCAGTGGTTGCAAATTTCATCACATCTAACCTTAATTTTTTTATTGATACTTCATCAGTCTTCTCCTTAGCTGGCTCCATTGTTTTGACCTTTGGTTTCTGCTGGTCATGACTATTCTTTTTGTACGACTCAAAAGCCACTTCTTGGTAGGGTACAGATGATCGAAGCTGAGAGGATTTTGTTGGTACAAACATGATATTCAATTCCTGAGAACATAAAAAAGAACAAAATCATACTGTTACTTGATATAAGTCAATTTATTGACAATGGCATGAAATGATGTGCCGGATAGAACTATTGATTCAAAGGTGCAACTAATGCTGGTGACTGACAGGTGTATAGTGTATTGGCATATGAGGGGGTTTGCCGAAGTAAACTTTCCGTTTGCGCTGGGTGCTCAACGCTAACGGATATCACGTGACCATTGACTTACCCGTTGGGGAACACGTTGTCGGTTGTCTCTGTTGACTAAAGACTGTTGTGTTTTGAGTGCACAATTGCTCAACGCTCTCAACTACCTCCTGAGACTGATGGCTTGTTGACTTCCGTTTGGTAAACAGTCCAGGACATTGGGCAATCCAAACAGTATCGAACAACGCCGAGCATTTGGAATCAGGTAATTCCATTGCCCAACAGTCCTATACAGTTTACTTTGACAACGCAGCTATGGTAACATTCAGCATTTGGCATCTTGGAGCGCAAGATTTTGGTGTTTGGGTGATTTACAAATAATATAACTAAGGGAAACTGTCGGTCAGCACTGTTAAAACCAAAGGTGTAATTCGAACTCAGCATTGATATTTCAGTAAAAATTAGCTGGTTCAAGCATTGATGGGTTGATTTTCCCAGTTACTCTTTCAGTCCCTGTACGCCCCTGATTGAAAAAGATGCAAGAAATTCTTTGAATTATGTAATTAAGTATGAAATATGGCATTGATTTACCTTATCGTTTCTTACTGCTGGAGAGTAATCACTCTCTTACATGATATGCTTCCTTTTAATAATCAATCGTGTCAAAACTAGTTCTTGACGGACCGCTGCTACTGGATCACTTTCAGATAGCTACTGGACATGTATATTAAATATAAAATAATCTAGGGTTGAAGTGTTGAGTAGTTATATATTACTGTTTAAAATTAAAAAAAATATGTACTTCACTGAAAACTAGCTGTGAATATTGTGAATCATCTTGGCGTGCTAGTGCTGTGAGGAGTGAGGACTGAAGTGAGGTTAGGTGTTTATTCATGTTGTTGTTGTTTTTTTTTCGACATGTGACAACAACTTAGGTTATGTTATATGTTATTGCGATCTTGCTTTTATCAGTTTTAAAAAAAGAAAGGATTTTGATCACTTATTTTGATCATTTTTGTTGATGGTGTCAATTTCTTCTGAGGAACTCACGTTAGGTAGGTAAAGCTTTTAGCTTTTTGTATTACTATCTTTGGATTTTTGCCTGTAATGGCTGAGTTTTATGAAACTGTTTGGCATAAGATTAGGGGTGTTCCAACGAATTTATGCCGGTACGCTATCGGTATAGTCTTAAACCAAAACTGGGGGCAGTACCGTCAGTGGCAATGATATTGTTAACAGCCCGCCGTATCGGAGTTTTGAGAGCTTGCACTCAATGCATTGTCGCCCCGTGTGTCTGTTTGTCAGATTGCCTGGTGCAGTGGCGCGTAATATAGATGTACATATTGCAACAGCTTATTTTCGTCAACTCTGAAAAGTCAGATCGCTATTGGTAAGAGAGCTCTTATCGTAACTTTTTCTTAACGGAACTGTTTCGGTAGCTTACCGACAACCAATAGAACAGTCCTACATGAGATTATCCAGAATATGAGGATGTAGCCAGCTCCTGAATATCAATGGTGAAGTTACCAAACCGCGCAACTTGGTTTTCAACATTGCAAACCAATGCAAAATTGCTCAGCGTCAATTCTTGAAAACTTCCATGGTTAATTTTCTCTGTTTGAAGAAGTTGTTCTTCTCCAAAAAAATTAAATGGAAGTAGAGTTGTCTAAACACCTCAAACAAGATACTTTGTTTGGTAGTTTCAGCATTGATATGAAAGCGAAACACAGGAGCCAGAATGAGGGTCTTCTTACCCAGAACAACACTCTTAAATTTGAGAGTGTCTATTTCAAAAAGATACTTATTATGAAATTTTATTATCAAATGAGTATACAGGACTACTTTAAGAATTTAAAGATATAGATATAACAAGGTAGTTACGAAACATCACCAAAGGAGCAGAGAAGGTCCAAATGAATAACATCAATTATCGTTGGGGGTGCAGAGATTTCTTGCATTTACTGAATACATCTCAGGAATAACCATTTTGCCTCCACTAAAATCCTGTGTTTTTTTTTGTTTTTTTTTTGCAGTTTTGGACATTAAATATTTAACTCTGTGGCTGCTCTAAACCGAGGAAATGGAAGATGATGTCAAATGAAGGAATATGAATCAATGAAATGCTGAAAGTTCTGGAAAGATGGGTGACACAACTCACTCTATTGTTGTGAGTCCCTTTTTTCAAATCAGTTCTCCCACCGATAATGAGCCGCTGAATGATTCAGATGAGACTATTGCAAAGTTCTCTAACTCCAGATGCAATAATGAATCTTGTAGTTCACAGGAAACTCCTCCTCTAACCCCAACCAGTAAAGTGAAAACAAAAACAACATTCTCTCCCCGATATGCGCGCAGGCCAGGGAAGAAGTATGCTGCTGCTGTGAAGAAACCTGCTCACACGAAAGAAGTAAAAAGTCCATATTTTGCCTCAGAACTTGATTCGTCTGAGAGGATCAAGCAGGAAGAAGACCCGTCACGTCAAAGAGACACATGGATCCCTCCCAGATCTCCATATGCTCTAATTCAAGAGGATTTGTTTGCCAATCCTTGGCAACTTCTCATTGCAACTATATTCTTAACCAAAACTCGAGGTAAGAGTCCAATTCTCATAAACCCTTAAATTCGTATTTATGTCATTAATTCCTGTGCATAATCAAGTAATTAAGGGAAGTCTTCCCATTAGAATTCATTGCGATAAAATTGAATTACTTCAGTTGCAATTTCTCTTGGTATTGCAAAATTTCTATTTATATAACAAATGAAGCTCGCCTATTTCAATGGGTTAAAATACTAGTAAATGTGAGCTCACACTAAAAATAAAGTTTCTGGTCCAGTTTTTCTTTGCTTATAAATTAATGCTTAATCAACAGAAGAATATATGAAGCAGAAAAGTAAATTTTTCACACGATCGAAGGGCGTAGGCTTAAATTTGTTTAGTTTTTCCACAAAGAGAATCCCCTTCGGTATGCTCCTAACTATTACCAACACACAATTGTCGCGTTCTACACCATTTTGATTTGTGAAAAAAAGCCGGTTTTTGCCCACCATAACGTTGTGTTTTCCTCTTTGAAGATTAGGTTTTTCATCGTTGGGGGGTGGAGGTTCGAACTTTCAGTTTTGACAGAATCAGTTTGAAATTTGGTTTAAAGCCCTGACTTTTCATGACCTACTGTTTATCCTCTAAGAGGGGCAACTGCAAGATGATAAAATTCAGATTCATCAGGGTCCTCTGTCTGAAAGTTCACCTGGTCCGGGATTTCATCCTACCTAAAATGACAGAGATTAAAACTTTGAACAGGTGGTCTTGAATACCCTATACTAAATACTGATCTTTCCTTTGTGTATATATCTTAAGTTCTGCAATTGTAATGTTTTTAAAATTGTTTTTTTCTTCCTTTAGCCCAACTAGCCATCACACCTCTTCTGAAATTCCTAGACAAGTGGCCAACTCCTGAAAATCTTCTGAAAGCAAATTTTGATGAGATTCATGAAATTCTACAGCCTCTTGGACTTGGCGCACTTCGGAGCCGTACAATCTTGCGCTTTACTAGTAAGATTCTCTCATTCTTTTTGTCTGTTCACTCCTGTTGGGCTAGGAGGCTTATCTGATCCATCCCTCATATCGACGTTGAAACTGCAAAAATGCATTCCTCGATTTCGGTGTTTCAAATCCTATCTTATTTTTCATAAGGAAACCAAACCATCATACTGGCTTGAAATTTTCACAGAATATTCTTTTTAATGAAAAGAAAAATCACTAAAATTTTCAAAAAATGACTCTCAGTAATTTTCCAAGTAGAAAATAAGGTATGAAAAAAAGTCTGCGACGTTGCAAACCGAGATACGCATTTATGCAGTTTCACCATTGATGTGATCTTTTTTTGTATTAAATTCGTCGAGTGGTGTGGCTCTGGCCAGTGATTTTTAATCAAAGTGCTGCTTAAAAATCATCTGTCTCTGAGTTTGAGAGGGGTAGCCTTTAAAAAATGTTTAAATTTCAAAAGCAGGTCTATTGAAAAACATGTAATTTTGTTTCAATGCAGACTTCTTCAAATCATAGTGTCTATTTGTTAGCTACTTTTTGTCTTGGGGTACCAAATTTGGATGCAAAATTAATTGTTCAACTATGTCGCACAAGCTTTCAGATTTCATTGTCATCAGAGCAAAAGAGTCAGACTTTTTGGGGAAGCTTGTTTGAGTTCATAAAATAGTTGAATTTCTAAAATTATTTTTCTTCTAATTAAGAGACTCTTGCAGATGACAGTTCTTCTGGCAAATACCTTGCTTCCACACAAATGCTAATTCCTTTGGGTTCAATGGCATCCTTTTTATGATTTTTTAAACCTTGTCTATCACCCTTGTTGGGAACACAGAGGCATAGCTAAAAGAGGCATCAGGCAATTCAGACTCTCGTAGTGGTCTAGGGGTCAGCACGGGCCTCTTCGAATCCTTATTTGAATAGAGGTTGATGGAGAGGTCGTGACTATTACTTAAATTAATTTTTTTTTAATCTCTTTTTTTTTAATCTAAAGGACATTTCTTTTCTTTCATTGCCACAAATATTTATATTATTGTTTTACTTACCAGTTTTGCTCTATTTTACAGAAGAATTTTTGGAAAAAGACTGGCGCTATCCAATTGAATTGTATGGAATCGGAAAGTACGGGAATGACTCGTATCGAATGTTCTGTGTCAATGAGTGGCGAGATGTCACACCAACAGATATTCCCCTTTCAAAGTACAAAGTGTGGTTAACCATGAACGAGGAAAGACTGGGGTTAAAGTAGTCCCTTGTCTAGCTCTCCTTACAAGGTTGTGAAGTTTCCTGTAGGTACATACGCACTTTGATCCAACGTAATTTTTGGTTTGAAGTAGACAACGATTAATACAAACTCTGAATTTGATCACTATGCTACATAATTCCTCATCAATATTTTGCATGGCAAGTAATTCTTATAATTGACATCTTCTTAGTAAACTCTTCAAATTAATTAATTACAAATGATATCAATATTTTTCATGTCCCTAAATTCAAATGTTCTTACTCTCATTACGAAACCAAAATTTGCTTGACTTAAATGTACAGAGAACAAATATTGACATATTTTACAATGGTTGAATTTCTGAGGGAATGGCATGAAGCACCAGCCTTCCATAACTCAGCACCAAACTCTGTTGGGTTTCCATATTTTTCATCCATAATCCTAGTAGCAATGTCTGTTCATTTACATCGTTATTTAAAAGAACTCCTGATTTTCTGTGCCCTGTTCCAGTGATCTAATTTCCTATCAACAAATTATAAGTGTGTCGCAGATAAGAAAGTTTGTAAATCCGATTCAGATTATTTGCTGCCTGGCTATAACTCCTCGTTTTCAGTGGCCCCATACAATATATACAGTATTTCTTTTGATCAAAAATTCTAATTTGTTGAAACCTCTGCTAATTGAAATCATAAGTATCTTACCCAGGAGTTTATTTAAAATACCAAGCAAAGCATTCTCCATGATGATAATTAAACAAAAGCACAACATATTGCAGTGATTCAGACCCTTTCCTTGCAGTCCATAACTTGACATTGATGAAAGGATATGAAAAAGAGGGCTGTGATGGAATCTCCCATAAGGTTAAGTAAATCAATAAATTTTAGTTCTTGTAGAATTAGTGTATGTCTATACAGTGCTAAACGAATGCATTCAGACCTTAGTAGTCACTTTTACTTTCAAAAGAGGAAAATTGCCCCATTGACAACATGCCAACTTTCAAAATTGAATCAGGTTAAAAAGGTTCTTCAAATGCAGATAAGGCAGTCCAAAAAGAAAACTATAGTGTCAGACTATAGTGGTCTTATAACTACAAATAATTTACTGTTTCCTGTCATCGCGTTTTTGTTTTTATGTAATTCCTTATATTTGGCTGTGCATGTTGTTTACTTATTTATTTTTATTTATTCTTTATGATTAAACCTAGTTTTATTAAATTGTTTGAAGCATATACATTTTTTAACCGTGAATACAAATTTTCAGTACCACTATATTTTATCTTGCCTTTTTTTCTTTTTCTTTTCGATTAAAATGTGCAATAAATATTGTATGCATTGTCTTTTAGAAGTGCAGAATCTTGGTAATAGCACCTTTTCTTTCGTTTCGGTGAGACTATAGCTCCAGTGGTTGTTTGACGAGTTTATTGTTTTTGAAGATGGGTCAATTTCATTGGCAACAAGCAACACTTAGTGCTCAGGGTTTTTTTTTTTTACCCAGTAAAAACAAGCTCCCTCTGTCAATGTTTGAAGTGATGTTTATAAAGGTCATGCCTTAACAAAAACTTGAGTGTAAGTATAGTTTCCTCTATATAAAAGTGGTGCTATATCGCCCTAATGTCTACTTGCTTAAACAAAAACTTGCCTTAACAAAAACTTGAGTGTAAGTATAGTTTCCTCTATATAAAAGTGGTGCTATATCGCCCTAATGTCTACTTGCTCCAAGCCGCGTTTTAAGCTAAAGCCAATTAAAATTTTGAAAAAAAAATAGCATTCACGTGTTAGTGAAGATCATCTGGAATATCATTTAATTAACCAGCATATATCGCTGGGTTGTTATACAGAAATATTCAAAACTCTTCTGTGAAAAATTTAGGCCTAAAACGCGTTGTTGCCGAATTGATCTTCCATTAACCGTCGTAGCCGTTGACAGCCGCTTGGAGCCCAGCCAATGTTCGGTCAATAAATCGCACTTCCAGAAAAAAAACTTTTGCCCACCTAAAGCATGTTCCCTGCAAGATTTACTGGAAGGATTGGCAGAGTTAGCAGTGTGCTGTATCACCTGTCTTCAAAAAAACGGCGAGCTCGCTGAAGACTGCTCATGCGGAGGCTCGCCAAAACGAAACAAAATGTGCTACGACGTTGCAAGTTTGGCCTGATGGCTCTTCATAGCTCCCAGTAATAATACCTTACTAGCGATATATCGGAAATTTGAACCGTCTCCAAGTTACTGCAAAACTCCGAGGTTTTTTTTGGATCGCTCCTCGTATTTACCAGGGAGATAGACTCCTCAGGTTTAGCTGCAGGTACAGAATTTTAGTAGGTTTCCTATGTTTGGAAGGGTCTTTTAAGGGCACATAAATACCTAAATTAAGGGGCTTGGAGGAAGTCGCTTAAGTGCAGTTTTTGAAAAATTTAAATATTAATTATTTCAAGTATAACTAGTCTGAATGCATTTTCAGTGAAGAATCCGCTCCCAAATTCCAATTTTTAAGCAAAAAAAAGTCAGTTTGAACTTTCTCTCCACCATGAGGATCCATGTCATTTCGGAACTTCAAACACGTATTTCTCGAAATAGCAAAAACTGCACTCATGCGCCTTGTCCTCCAAGCCCCTCAATCGAGAAAATTTTGGGAAGAATCATTTGCTCGATTTTTGTCTAAGCCTTATCCACCCAGGATTCTATGCGAGAACTTAAGGCCATTTTCCCATAAATAATTTATCATTGATTCGTTTTTTTTTACAATGTTCGGTAAAAATCAGTGGTGGTTTACTTCATCGGCAAAACAGATAACGCTAGAATTATGTTGAGGTATAAGAGATACAATTTCAGTTAGTGTCTCATGAGACTGAACGGACTTCATTGTATCGTCTGGATACAACTGCTCGAGCTCCATGGATGTGCCTATTGCATACGCACGGAGTTGAAGGCGTTTTGACTTCAGACACTACCCGCCTCACCAGCGGCGCGCATTGCTCAGTGGAGCGAGCAAATGAGAGGAGTCGGACAAAATGTGGAAAAATTAAAAGCCCATATCGATATCAACATTGAACGTAGAGGTTTTAAAAGTGGTTTCATCGATTTTCTCGTAAAATTTCCTGCTAGAGTTACCCCATTCAATTTATAAAGTGAAGAAAGTAACATCGATATTTGCAGTCTCAGTCGAAAATTTCATGTCCAACCTCTCTGAAAGATGCTCTGAAAGGCTCGTTTTATTGTGCGGCTGGCCTTACTGCGCTCTATAATGATAGGGTGCCTTCAATTATTCACTCAAATTCAAAGACATCTCTTACAAGGCATGAATAGTTGCTCAACAAATCATGCTCAGCACATCGCGATATGAAAACCAAAGAACAAAAAATACTCATATCCTCCGTCTGTATGCAATTACTCGTGCCTAGAAGATATCTTTGTAGTATGAAAATGAAGAATTAAAAGCGCTCTGCCATTTTGGATCCTCGCAGAAAACCCGCCGCAGGCCGCGGGTGAAGTGGTGAGTGCCTGCATAGTTAAAACGCCTTCACTTACGTGCGTATGCAACGCGGCCGTCCGTTGAGTTCGAATAGTTGCATCCAGGAGTTGATATGAGATTTCCCTCGTGTTCGAGGCATTGGACACAAACTGAGAGCGCTTTGCTTGATTCTCTCACATCGTAACTTAATACCAAAGTAGCCTATAGTTCCGATGCAGTAAGCTAGTACTTACTGAGTTTATTGCGATATTGTCAATTTTCGAATAACGGTTTAATTGTTTAAAGATAATATAACAACGTTGCCGTCTTGAAATGCGGGCTGCGGCCCCTATCCTCGCTGATCTAAGATCGACGAATTCGGCAGTATTGCCGTGCTATGGAAGAACGTCGTATGAGCCTCCAGAAGTTGCCAAATTTCCTTCGATAAAACCCGAATTTACTGCCCCTGCTAAAAATGAGTGTAATGTTAGCATATTGATAGCAATGTGCTAGTATTAAGTTTTCAAGCATAATACTGAGTAACGTAATGTTAGCAATATACCGGTACTATACCAGCTATATGTGAGAATTAAGTTCGTTAGTGATACATTAAATGATTATATCCTAGCCATATGTGTGTTATATGTTAGCATTAAGTTGGTCAACATAATACTAGTATTACACTCAGTAGTGTAATGCTAACCATATATTAGTTATATGTTAGCATTAAGCTGGTCAGCATTATACTAGTATTATACTCAGCAGTGTAATGCTAGCATTACACTATTGAGGGTATAACTGTGTGATGAGTGTTTACCAGTCACGGCCACCAGATGGCGCTGTACTCTTCAATGTGCGATTACCGTTTTCTCTGGGCCCAAGCCTGCCTCGGATGAATGGTTTTTGTCTCGTTATTCTTCTCACTTGTTAAGGTGTTTATGATTTACTTCTAGAGATTTCACTGTTCTATTAATATTTATATTTGATAAGTTATAGAAGCGGTTAAAAGTTGCGCTCTCTTTTTCACAGCCTTATATCAATATACTTGGGCATACCCGAGAAATCTGACTCTCCGATGCTTGCAAAGGTACCGTTAATAAGGATGATCACCGCTAAAGCCTCACCGTGGGATAAGAGCGTAAGGCGTCACCACCCTCTCGCCGCTCGCCTCGGCCCAGCGTCACCCCCGCGGGGCCGTCCTTTTAAGGACGGCACCGCACTTTCATTTAGGAATGTGCTAGCTAGCATAATTCTAATGCGCACATAATTAGTGAAGTGTCAAGATAATACTCCTGAGTGTAGATTCAGTATAATGCCAGTGTAATGCTAGAACACTCGTGAGTGTATAGCTAGTATAATGCTAGCTATATACTCGAGAGTGTATAACTAGTGTAATGCTAGCATAATGCAATTCTACGTGCAAATCACATTATGCTAGCTATGCACTCACGAGTGTAATGCTAGCATTGCACTCATTTTTAGCAGGGTGNAGCGCTTTGCTTGATTCTCTCACATCGTAACTTAATACCAAAGTAGCCTATAGTTCCGATGCAGTAAGCTAGTACTGAGTTTATTGCGATATTGTCAATTTTCGAATAACGGTTTAATTGTTTAAAGATAATATAACAACGTTGCCGTCTTGAAATGCGGGCTGCGGCCCCTATCCTCGCTGATCTAAGATCGACGAATTCGGCAGTATTGCCGTGCTATGGAAGAACGCCGTATGAGCCTCCAGAAGTTGCCAAATTTCCTTCGATAAAACCCGAATTTACTGGGAAAATTGCATATATTTTCTACCAAAATTTTCAAACAATTTTGTGCGCAGTTTAATCTAAAATACCTGAAAATTTCAAGGACAAATATGCATAAATGATGTCAGAAATACATGTTTCATCGAGGGAAATTTGGCAACTCTCGAATATTCATACGGCGTTCTTCCTTAGCACGGCAGAATACACCTCCTGGGGAGGTCTTCCTCGCGCGTTACTCTTATGATTTTTTATTACAGAGTATGATCAAAATATCGAAAAATTTCGGTTTGCACGGACGACCTCTGAGTTACATAAGCCTTTGAACGAGGGTACTCGTTCCATACTGCCATGCTAAGGAGGAACGCGGTATGACATTCTGCTGTTGCCCAGTTTCCCCCGAAAAAAATATTTATTTTTGAGAAAGTTACGCATATTATTTCTTAAAATTTTCAGATATTTTAGATTAGATTACGAAAAAAATTGTCTGAAAATAGGAGGAAAAATATTTAGAATTTTTCCCAATAAATTCTCTTTTTTTTAAGGAAATGAGGCAACGTTTGAAGGATCATACGGCGTTTTCCTTAACACGGCATTTTTTATTTTTTTTATTTTTCTATATTTTTTTATTTTTTTTAAATATAAAAAGTTCGAAAGTTCGGCCGGAGCAGATTCTTATGAAAGTTTCAGGGGGTTTCTCCTGTAACACAAATCAAATTCCTAAACTTGTTAGAATAGTCCGAGCAACCTTTCTCTCGTGGAAAAATTGAATTTTTCGATGAAATTTGGCAATGTCTGTTGTGAATTTGTACCTTTCCGGGTAACGTGTTCCAATTTTAAATCCAGCTATTAGAATGCCCGGCGCTGCAAGTTCGACTTTCAGACGACCGAAGCACGAGAAATCAAAGTAGTTTTATCCTAAAGTCTCAGTGAGGGTTTCCCTTACCGTGCCTTACCTATTCCATTCCTTACTCTGAGTAAAATTATCCGTAATAAGCTCTGACCAGTGGCGTGGTGTGCTATGCGATGTATCGATTGATCTGCCATTTAAGCCCATGGAAAAGGATCGATAAACAGGATGTCTGCATAAATAATCGATTTTTTACCATAGCCTCAAATGGGGAAATATCGATAATCGATTATTCACGCCTCGCCATGGCTCTGACAGTCGTCCAACGGGAGGCATCGGCGTGGACAGGGAGGTTAAGGGAGGGGACAGAGAGGGTAGGGGAGGGGACAAGAAGGGTACAAGGAGGGTACAAGACGCTTTCCTCTTAATTAATTTGCGAGCTGCAGAATAAAGAGCGTTACACACCATTGCTTTGATTAAATTGCACTCCACTGCGTAGCAATTAAAAATAGATAAGACTAATCGATTCGGCTACCGAACGAGACATGTTTTAAACGCCGCCCCCCTCCCCTTCTCATCCGATGCACCTTGTGAATGCTGCCGTGTTATGGGAAAACGCCCTACGAGCCTTGAGATTTTGCCAAATTTAGTTTGATAAAATACAGATTTTCCGAAAAAGTAACGAATATTTCTTGTCCAAAGTTTCAGAGAATTTTATTCGCAACGGAGACGCAAATTTTTATTGCTTATCTGAGAGTACTTAGACAGCAGATTGCGAGGTATTTTTCTATAATTTTTCCCTGATATGGGAAACAGTAGGTATAAAAATAGATTTAAAAGTGAGAAAGTGCACCGCGCCCAGACGTCATCTGGTGGCCTTTCCCATTTAAACACATGTATTTTAGCAGTTTAGATCATGCTGTCAAGTCTCTCCCATTATTTGTTCGATTTATAAACCACGGATTTCTTCGTGTTCAATTCACTCAGTAGTTTCCATTTAAACACGAAATTTATCAAATTTCAGACATTTGTATCGCCATTTGCTTGTAATTTCGTCTAAAATGTCTGCAAATTTCAAGGGAACTTATTCATAATTTTTCTGAAAAATGCATAACTTCGCGGGAGATTTTTGGCAACATTCGAATGCACTTACGGCGTTTGTTTTCTTTATCACGGCAGAATGATTCTGCGCTAAAACAAGTCTTACCCCCCTCTTTTCACTACCCAGAGACTTTCACGAGCTTCATGGCTCTTGAGAAAGTACTCTTACAGTTCTATAATTATTTTTAAGGTAGGCGGTCCACATGTCCGTGTCTTTCAATAGTACTAAGTTGCTCTGGTGAGTTGCGTGGACACCTATCGCATGTGCAAAGGTCACTCCTTTCACCCTTTTTTAATTTTATTCGATTTTTTAATCATAATTATTTTCTTTCCTCTATCTAAGAGAAAGCTGTTTTTTGTTACGTTTTACGAGATTGGTGCCTTAAAATGATTATAAAGAAAAGAAAGTCTAATTTTGATTTGATAGTTTAATAGAAAAATAATTGAAATTTCTACTCCCCGCATCTGTAATTTTTAAGTGGGTAAGTCATTTCCGTCAATTCCTCATGTAGTGCGCTCATTGAACACCGTCAACACATTTTATTACCGAGCTCAAGCGGAAGGGGGGGGGGAGGTCAGAAAGGAGTGAAAATTCATGAAAATTATGGTCAGAATTGCCGAAAAAGGACTGTTTGCTATTTTGAAAAAAGTTAATAGGATTAAATATATCATCGCAAAATTGTAGAAATATTTCATACGAAATCCTCCACAAGATTGGCTGATTCCATAATTTTTTTAATGGATGGTCAAAAAATCAAAACGAACTACTAGTGCTGGGTTTATGAATTTTTCATCGGGGTTGCGAGATTGATTTAGCCACCCCTTGAATGTTTGGGGGGGGGGGCGAGGACACCCTAGGTTCCAGAGGAGGAGCCCGGCAATAATAATATTAGAAATGTAGAGCCTATGGCATGCATATAGTGCTAGTGTACCTGGTATACTTTCTTTCCCTCTGTTTACTAAACATTAATAAGTAGAAGATGAGTTCACTCTCCTTCTTCTCGGTAAGCGGTGATTCATTCTACTATATTTAATTTTAGTGACTTTCAAAGGACATCCTTAGAATTGCCATAGAATACACGTCGGTAGAAAAATCGCATATTTCGACATTTTTCTTGGATAATTTTTTTTTTTTTTCGGCGGAAAAGTGGAACATTCAACTAATTCTCTTTCCAATGGAACCGCGTGACTTTAGCAATTGTGAGTCTTCAGGGACCCAAAAAAATTAGCGAGCTCGGCATCATTCGTGGCATTAGCAGGATAATACTCGGCTCACATTATTGCTCACTCGTTCCGGCCAGAGTTCGCCTTCAATATCTCGGTAGGCAATGTGAGCGGCTTGGGAGCGGTAATAGTTGCTCGTAGCATTTTAGCCGGGTTTACTCGGCTTATACGATTCATGATCGTAGCGGTTTTTTATTGTCATACTTCCCGTTATAATCTATCGTTTATTTGCTCCATTGCAAGTTTCCTTTAGGAAACTGTGAAGTATACTTCACCTGCTACCCAAGCAGCAGAGATTGCAATAAATTGTCATAACATTCGAAACCATGGGATCTCGTTTATATATTTTACTGTATGAAAGCTGCCCATGTCATTCCTAAGATCGGACAATGCTCGAGGGTTTTCGAAAAGAGAGATTTTATCTGGAAAAAATGTCAAAATTTGCAATTTTTTTAAACAACATTTACTCTATTACAATACTAAGGATGTCCTTAGAAAAATGTATAGTTCCTTTTTTAAAGTGTAAAACAGGCATCTCATGAAAGTTTGTTCGAGGAAAGTCACTATGAGTGTTTTGATATGATGAAAGAAATGAAATGGGCATTCTTACACATTTTTCCATTTTAAAATTGCTCTGACTTTCATTTCATTCTCAAAAAAATCTATTTCTTTCATTTAATTTCAGAAATGGGGAAAAATAACAAAACGAAGAAACGCCAAGTGTTTTCTAAAACTGAGAGGCCTGATTCGAACTGTGCACAAAATATAAAGACAAATCCTATAAAACTTGCACCTGAAAATCAACTCGAAACTCGTGAGGTGGTGAGCGAGGATGCAACTGCTGGCCATGATTCGGGAAATAACGACGAGAAACGTATCCAACAGATCAACTTGACTTGGTTTTCTAAACCAAGAACAACATTTTTCTCAACGTTTTGTCACGTGTGCAAAGATTCGAGAGCCGATGTCGTTTGCCCAAAATGCCACTTGATACGATACTGTTCTATCGAGCACAGGAAAGCGCACTGGTACTCACATGCAGACATTTGCCGTGCGGTGCAGCAGCTCATGGCTCGAGAGCAGGAGGATCATATTTTCAACCAGGCCTCAGGCCTCTCAGCACAAGAATTCAGACTTTTCCGGTACAACCTCCTTGTAGAGTGCCAGAATTCTGTAGAGCGGCAACTACAGTTATGGGAGCGAGAAATGTTCCTCTACCCAGCCGTGTGTACATTTTGTCATAACCCCTCGACAAAAATTCTCGAGACGTGCAATCGGTGCAAGATGGCTGCATTCTGTCCAGCGCACAAAGACAAATCAGCCGAACACGAGGAATGGTGCGATGTCCTAACGCTTCTTCGTGACTTTGCGATTAGTGAATGGAAAAACGGCGCTATTCAAATTAAGCTTCCTATGGAAATGTCGGAGAAGAATTTGAGGATTCCAGAGACTTTCGAAAATATCCTCGACAGCTGCAATATCACGGATGTTTTTGAGCGTATTCAGCTGACTCAGCTCATTACCGCTCCTCTAACAGTTTTATTCGGGGCTGATGATCTTTTCAGGCCGCCCACGGGATCGCGGAAACAATTCGTGGTGCATTTAATAGGGGCTGAAGTTGAGTTTGAATTGGAGCCTGTTCAGAAATGGGAATTATTTTTCCAGCATTTAGTTCCCGAATTAGAGGCACTGAAGTTAGTGCTGATAGGGCCAGAGCTTTTGGAATCTCAAGTTGGTGAGAAGTTTGTTGGTTGCGCTGAGTGTAAAAGGAGAAACAAATCGTTAGACGTAATTTTCGAGTCAGGGTTGTTGTATCATGAGTATATTACTACAGAAAAGTATATAAAACCAGATTTAGTTTGTATTTTTAATCCTGGGCTGAGTCGACTTACTGGTTATAATGAGGAAGACTCATGGTCAGATACCATCAGTGTCATGTTCCAAGAAAATGTACCAGTTGTGATGACTGAATACACAGAATTTGAAATTACATCCGATCTGAAACGGATTCAGGATATAGCGAGTGTAAATATTCTAAAAGCCCCACAGAAAAACCCTTTTTCCAGCCATAGACCTTACCGCAACTTTATTAGTGATGACTGTATCCCTGTGATATTTAAGAATTATTATATCTGTGTTATGATAGCTACAAGGGCTGTCAATTAGTCATTACCTTCGTGATGTTTTTGGCGATGCGATGGTATAAATGATCAATTACTAAAATAGAGACCTTAACAGATGATCCTCTTTTAATTTTTTTTCAGAGTTGAGGAAAAACCATAATTGCAAAAGTATGTATCGATGGTGAATCCACCATACCGCGTATCTCAACTCCGCTCTCATTTTATTTTTTTGAAAGAGAACCAATTAATATCACTTATTGAAGTTTTCATAGACTTTTCTTCCTGCAGAGAGGAAAAATTGCAGAACATTTGAAGAGTTAATGTTGAGAGTTTTTAATTTGAAGGATTTGAAGTAGGGTAGGATGGAGTCAGCAGGCCCGCCACATCCGATCTCGGGCCCTGGTACCAGTTTTAAGGTTCGGGCCCCAAGCACGGAGGGGGGGGGGGTCCGAGGGGCATCCCCCGAGAAATTTTGCGGAATAATTATGTTTTTTTTCTTTCTTTTTTTCTACTTTCAGCACAAAATACTTGCGAATTGTTGCATTCAAAACATCTGGAACATTTTTATTTTTTTTTTTTTTTTTTTTATGATACTATTTTCAGTTCTAACAGGGCCAGGCCCCCCTGGACTCCCCCTTCGTTTGTCTATGGCAAGGGAGTTGAGCCATGAGCCATTGAAGTCGAGGATGCCCAGACTGGAGACTCTTAGCATCTGACGACGGAAGAAAATGAAACGCAGTTACTAAAAATATCCCTCTGTACTGAAAATCATGAAAATAGCTTGAAATTTTCCAGGAAGTATACTTCTTTGAAAATTTAAGAAGAATTCTACAGTGCCCCAGCGTGTGTCTGAAAATCTATTCACCTTCTGCGAAATTTTTAGGGTAAATTGTTCACTTTTTCTTACGAAACAAGGGTTGCATGTGAATTCGTAGTGGTTTTTCACGGGTAACACGGGGCCCCTCCGGGGCCCGGTACCAGGGACCCAGTATCCCTCCCCTTGTGGCGGGCTTGGGAGTCAGTCTCACACATTTCTGTTTCATGATTTTTCCTGATTTCCCTAATTGATGGATGAGCTTTTTTGAATTTTAGGAGTTTTACTTTGGTCTTGAACTATAAGCAAAAAAGTTGTTCATCAAAAAATGAACCATACATAAATTACATTTAATAGACGAGCACTTCTAACTGCTTACTTAACCCCATACTTTGAATTTTCAAATTTGACCATCTCTATGGACCACACTGTGGACAAGCGGACTGACCCCATCCTACCCTATGCAGTAGCGTGGCGTCAATAGCGATATATCGATTGTTATGCCATTTAAACCTATTGTAAAGAATCGATTATTGAGGCGTTCGCTGCGAACACCCTGTCTATCGATCCTTTTCAATAGGTTTAAATGGCATAACAATCGATGTATCGCAAAGCACGCCACGCCACTGCCCTATGACATGAAGTCTGCAACATCGCAAACCGAGATGCGTGGTGTGGTAGCTCTACTGTCGATTTTCATAAATCGTCGCTCCTCTGACGCAAGGTTGTATCTCTATTTTCACATGAGTCTTGAAAAGCATAGAGTTATATGGGAAATAGGGATCACGAAGGAATTGAAATACGCCCTTACGTCAGAAGAGCGACGAAATGTGTCTTTTTTAATAACTGACGCAGACTTTAATCTTTGTTTAAATCATGTATTTTCGTTAATTACAAAAAGTAAATGAATACAAAAATGGAAACAAGAAAAAATGGTAAATATGAATGGTATATGATGGATATTAATGTTTTTATATGAAACATTTCGAATTTGTTTTCACTTGCTCTTCATTGCCTGCTTAAGTATTAAAATAATTTCTATTCACATATTATACAAAAGTCATTTACAAAACAATAATATAGTGCCATTAAAATTTTCCCTGCTTCATCTACTTTTCAGGATGCCTTTGACGTCTTGTCACCAATCCTCATATGAGGGAATGAAGGAAACTGATGATACACGGTTTGGGTAAGATCCATGACCAACTTATGACCATTTATAGAAGAACTCTCGTGTTCATTTGGTCAATAGTTAACTAACTCGCCGTCTTTTTGTGTAAATTAAGTACCCTGTAAAATTTCGAGTATCTCTAAATAAAGTAAACTTTTTAAATATCCAAACAGGTTAGGTGCACATTTTGAAAAAAATGTTTGACAAATCACAGAAAAAAATTTGATCTGCTAAAACTACCTCACCAGCAAAATTGACCCCTCTCATCATGCTGATCTAATTTTTTGTGAAAAAATAAGTGTATGGTAAAAAGGAGTCATCGCGAGAATCCATCTTTCTTTGCAATGAAGGGGCTTTTCACTACAGCTGTTTAGGTATTCAATTTATTTTTTAAAATACGTGTATTTAAAAAAAAAAAAAAGTATATCATCTCATGATGAGTGGGAGATAGGAAGCTTAAGCTGATCTCCTCAACATGTATACCCAAGTTAAGTGAACTGTGTCTTTTATTACAATTTTTACATTTGTAGAAATGAAGAAATCAGGTAAGATAATTTTGAAACTAATTCGAGAGAATTCCATTTATCAGCCATAATGAATCACTTGATCCGAAAGTACGAGAGTCATTTTGTTCTGCACGTAGGGCAAATAAGTGCTATGCAACCGTACCAGGGAAAAACGCCGTGTGAACCTTCAGGCGTTGCCGAATTTCGATTGATAAAACACGAATTTACTGCGGCAATCTTATGACTATTTTTCTTCCTGTTTTCCAAATAATGTTGCCCGCAATTTCACCTAAAGTTCCTGAAAATTCAAAGGAAAAATGTTCATAAGTTTCCTCAAAAAGAAAAATTTTATCGAAGGAAATATGGCAACTCTCAAATGTTCATACGACGTTCCTCCTTAGCACGGTTGTGTAGTGGAGGGTCTATTTATCTCTGAATTGTGTCATCTCTGTGTATCTCTGTGAAATAAAACTATAAATTTTCAGTACAGACCCTCTCTGCATTGTAAAGTACCTTCAGCAAACTGCTTATTGAGGATAAATTTTCCCGTTCTGATACTTGAAGACAAATAAGTTTACAAAACATCACAGGGAAAACCAATTATATACACACGGGTTTAATCCCGTCAAGAATATGTGAGGCGCAAAAACTAGAAAAACTTAATAGCTATAGAAGCAAAGAGGTAACTAGAAATGAAAATCAAGCTCTGTACACAATGTGCAAAGAGAAAATATGAATACCAATAAGAGTTACTAAACAGCAAGGATAATTTACAGATTTGCCTGCTTTGCCTACCTACTTTATAAACATAGAAGAGAATAATCTGGGGGATCAGCTGAACTACTTTGGAGAGAGTTTTTGTGAGGAAAAGTAAATTTATAGAGATCATACCTCAGAAACTTGGGAACTTCCTTTTTTCTTCTCTTTTTTTTTGGCAAAGATCTGACAACAGCTCCAAGACAACCGTATCCGTAATGAAAGCATTCCGAGGATAATGCAAGTTGAAAGTTCATGATGTCCAAGCAGTTGGTACGTACTACGGACATTTGGAAAGAATGCCTGAGGAGGGGATGCCTGAACTAGCTTTGGATTGGGTTCCTTCTGCGGAAGAGGGTGAAGGGAGACATCTTGGAAAGAGATGACGGCAAAACAACGGCGAAGAAATCCAGACATATCAGGTGCCCAATGACCTTTGGAAAGACAGGGATATGTGGCGTTGGGGTGTCGTAGAATACTAGAGTGCGCAGTAAGAGCGACTTGACTTTCAATTTATATATTAAGATATCAGAGACTAAGAGTAAAAAATCAAATGCATCTCTGTGGAAATGAGGAAAGTGGGAGCTCCTTCAATTTTTGAATATACCTCACGCACATCCGTTGAAACTGTGCCACAATCAACTCACTAGTGTAGTCTATGTACGGCGAGAGCACCTTCAATTTTCAAATTTGCAAGAGAAACATTCAAGATACTAAGAATGCAATCGAAATTAAAAAAAAAACTCCTGAAAGAAATTTAAAAGAATAAACTTAAACATTGAATTACACAACCTGTTCCTTAGTAATTGTTTAAGTTTTTGTTTTGATGATTTTAAGTTTCGATAAAAATCTCTGGAATTATCGTCAGAAAATGATAAGTGTGGGACATTCGTCGGTTAGCGCATGGCTCGAACTTCAAATCAATGGCCGTTAATGACCGATTGTTGCCGTAATTTTCTGATTTTTCAGATGAATCAATTTCCTGGCGAGCCACTCGTCCAAGTTTCAAAAATTTGGGTTCAGTGAGTGTCGGTTTAAGGAACTAGTAATTTTTTACGAATTGCATTGTTATTAATTAATATTAGCTCCTGATATACGACCCATTACTACTTACTTTCTCCATTATCCTTATTCTTGAATGAATTAAATTATATTTAGTGAATTGATTTTTTACGTAATCTTTTTAAGTACTTACAATCAATATTTAAAATCGAGTTGTATGAGATTGACTTTGTAGAAAGGAAAAATAATGGGTCGGACGCGCAATAAGTTGCGGATAAACTATCGAACTCTTCAAAGTAACAGCCATCCCATAATCACGATGAGCTGATAAAGAAAGTCTATAATCTAGAAAAGTTTGTGCTGAAAAGTTCCAGGATCAGTAAAGGGATATCAATGTTTGGTGTCTCTCTCCTAAGTAAGTTTTTGACCAATATTTAAAATCAATAGTTTGTTAAAACTTGAAAATATATCAAGGAAAAATGGTTTACAGGTTTTAAGAAAAAATATAATGAAAAAAAGTTCCATCCATCTCTTTCACAGACAAAGTAAGTAAGAAATGTGAAAAGACTAGACTTAGTTCACATTATAATTAAATAATGAGGCAGTTTTCGACCAAGCCCCTGCGGAAAGAAATCAAAGATTATATCATCTGAAGCTCAAAAAAGTTGTTCCAAAAATGACGATTTCAATACTTCCTCTGTAGTTATAAGATACCCAAGCATCGGGGTCATCTGCCACAACAATTGGACTGCATTTTGCAACTTAGAACTATAAATTCTGGCTCTTCTGGAAAAACACTTATGTGCATAGGGAAACTACTGGCACATACGTTGTTTCTAAACCGGGCTAGAATTTATAGTTCCAAATTGCAAAATGTAGTCCAATCGATTGAAGTTTGGTCCTCATCGAGGGGTTGTCATTTTTGGAAATCCTCTTTAACTGAGTTGCAGACAGCCCTCTCTTGAACGTCAAGAGGAAAAAAAGCTCTATCCAGATGGAGACTGTTTTACACTAAAAGGAGCAAGCAATCTTAAAACTCTGGACCGTCATTTATATAATCAATCATCCCTAGTGAGCTCTGACCTCAATCTGAGCAAACAACACAGCGTATGATTTGATTATTGTAAGGGATGTTTTAATTTTAGCATTTTTGTGGCCTAGTCTCAATTTCAGCTGTTTCTATTTTACTTATAGTTCCAATTTTACAAATTTTGAAATAAGGCATCAGTTTTGGTATCTAATTCGCAAAACACGCTAATCGAGTTTCCTCTCATTTTTCCTAACAGTTGAAATTATTTTTGAAAATTCCCGCTGAGTGTTGTGGGGCTCCTTATTTTTGCTATCATCAAGAAATATTCCCTCTCAACCGTCAAGAATGCAGTACATTCACAGTTCTTTTGCTCTCCTAAAAAATCGGGGTTTCCGAGAATCGCAGTTTCAGCAACGATATTCGTTTGCTGCTTTTAAGATTGTAAAAAATGGTAAAATGCCAACAAAATGTGCTACTTCAAGGAGAGCGTCCGTTTCCTGTTGCTTGTTTTAAGTACACGCCTATTTGTTCCTTTCCTAAACTCAGCTTCGTATCAGAATTCTTTATTTTCAGAAAATGAACACTGAAAAAAAATTCTCGGCGTTTTTACCAAGGTCCCTTGGTACCTTTACCATCTCACTTTTTTTACCAATTATTGGTACTTTTACCAAGACAGACTGGTAAGCTTACCTAAAAGCCGGTATTTTTACTGTTTTTTCCAGGTAAGAATACCACTTTTATCGGTAATCAATTTCCGGTAACTTTGCCATTTTATCTCGGTAATTCTACCACAGTCGATAAAAAATATTGGCGTTTTTACCAAGGTCCAGTAAAACTACCGAGAAAGTTCAATAATTTTACCGAGATTTCTCGGTAAAATTACCAATTCCATAAATGGCAATTTTACCAAGAAATAACTGCGATCAAATAGAACCCTGAATTCTTGGTAATTTTGCCCTTTTCTTAGTAAATGCACAGAGATTTTTTTTTTCAGTGAATGAAAGAGGCAGTTGATTAGCAGGTACCTACATGAGATCATCGAAACATCTCATTCCGTAGAAACTAGTCAGGGGTACAGTACTCCAATTTCAGTAATTTTGTCAGTGGCAGTGGAATTCATCATTTTCTTCTTTACGATACTTCTGCGAAATCTGAGACATAGCAATGCTTCGAAGACTTCGGGATCGCTCGAACAGTGATGGATCGGTGTAGATTGGTTCACTTGGATCTTGAAACACGCGACTATTGATAATTGAGTTGATCTCGGGGGGAGCATCTATCTGACTATCAATAATGCTGCTACACACGGTTCTGAAAAAGTAAAAGGCACAATTACTCATTTTACCTTACTTACAAAGTAATAGTATGAACTCTTTTCATAATCTTTCAAACAAGCTTAAGATCGCGCGTACAGTGATCGGTTCAAAACAGGGCAGTTTCAAATTTTTTCAGGCCGAATTGATGGCACAGAATCAGTATGAAATCATCGAGCTCAACACCACGGTTCCAAAAGTACATCATACAATTTGTATTCGTTCTCTGATTGAAAACTCGATAAATTAAGCAAAAAAAACCACACTAGATCTGCCGTGCCTTGGAAAAACGCCGTATGAACCTTCAGGCGTTGCCAAATTTCCTCCAATGAAAACCGAAGAAAATTGTGAATATTTGTTTCCAAAATTTTTACACAATCGTTTACGCAATTTAAGCAATCCGAAAGTCTCAAGGAAAAATATGCATAAATTTCATCAAAAATACCCACATATTTTATCGAATGTTCATACTGCGTTTTTCCTTAGCACGGCAGAGGATGTACATCGGAAAATGACACCGTTATCAAGGTCTTGCGCCCAGGCGCCAAATGCAATGATAATTCTAAATGTTAAATTCTAAGAATTGCCAAGGAAAAATGCCGTATGGGCCTTCAGGTGCTGCCACATTGCTTTCGACAAAACGCAAATTTACTGAGAAAATTCTGAATATGTTTCCCCCAATTTTACAGACAATTTTTTCGCAATTTGATCTAATATATCTGACATTTTCAAGGAAAAATATGCATAAGCTTCTTCCAAAATATATTTATTATCGAGTGAAATTTGGCAACGTTTGAATGCTCATAAGAGCGTTTTCCTTTAGCACGGCAGTAAAGGATCGCGGAGTCGAAGGCACTCCCAATAAAGCCAGGAAAAGTGCTCGTCTCAAGCGGACATCTTCAAGGCGAGAGGATGCATCTTAATAAGCTCTGCTGCACTCCTCGGTTGCGTACTTTTCATTTGAAGGCGTTTTTCTTTCGCCAACACGTCTCGATCATTTAGCTAGCGTAATTAATTTTCGTCTGATAGTGTTCCGACGAATTCTTCCCTAGTGCGGCAGAATTCAATCAAAACACAATTCTGGGAGTAACCCTTTCGGATTCTACCCTTTTTCAATTTTTTAAGGTGTATTGCGCCTCATGTTTAGTTGTTTTATATGTATAACTGCAGGTATGAAATAAATTGATTTCTATTTTACGATGCATTAGTAACTACATTCATTAACATCTACTCAGGTTCTCTTCGTCTCTAGAAACTATACCGTCGGAATTGTTTTTCTTGTGAGGTTTCAGTGAAAAAAAGATATTAAAGAATTACTAGAGCCCAGACTTTGCCGGAACGAGTGTATTCGATGGTAATTTTTAAAAAAATACAAATATTACCTGGTTGAGGTGAACTTATGAGAGCTCGGGCTGAGGAAAGAGAAAAGACTCGGACCACTAGAGCTAGAGAAGAAAGTGGGCGAAGGATTTACCACTTCATTTTTACTTTGAATCACCCAGTATCGTCTGAAATTTCACAACAATGCATAAAAAAGGTAGGCACAACAAAATATTTTGTGCAGTGAGCAAGCACAGATCAAAATATGTACAACGGAAACATATTTCTATAGCTGAAGAGAAAGAGGGTTAAGTAGTCATGTATAAAATACTTTGATTTGTAAAATATTTATCAAAGTTCAGAATTTGCCTCACACGGAGACAAAACATCAAGGAAGTTTTTAAGAATTCACATTACGTGGTTCTCCTTTTAAAAAGTAATGTATGAGAAGAAGACTGCAACGTCGCGAACCGAGATACGTGGTCTGGGAGTTTCACCATCGATACCATATGGACGTATTTCTACAAAACGGAACTATGTGCAATAAGACATGAGCCCCATAAGAATACATGCATGACAGGGCTCACATCACAGTGCACATAGTTCCGTTTGGCAGAAATACGTCCATATGGAGCTATGAGGGTGCTATTTTATTGGTGGCCTGGGGCCAGACCATTTAGGAGGCAAGCCGACGGATTGCGATCAAGTCCGAAAGACAATATGGGTGTAAAAATCGAGTTTCATAATAGAAAATCTAAAGAAACATTTATAGGCCGAAGGCAATCAGTCTAATCAGGCATTTTATCTAATGCTTAGGCCGGCAGTCAAATTTTGACAGTTTACTGAATTCTGGAAATTTATATGGCGAGGAGTTCACAGGTTTTCAATATTTTGGGAAAAATAACTCTTTAAATTCGCGAACTCTCTTTGTTCCTTCCTTTTTACACACTTGTAGTACATTTAAATGTAAAAAAAATTTAAAATCCTATGTTTTAATAAGAATTGCTGAAAATTTTAATGCGAAATGTGCATTCAGGATTTTAAAATCGCTTAAAATACTATTGTATACTGCATATTTTTACAGAGAATTCTTTCTTACAGAAGCAACGAATTATTTTGTCTAAAATTAGGATAAATAATCAAAATTTCAATCTAAGCACAAGAATATGTAACTATTTTCCTAGGCATTTGACAAAATGCCTGATTTCACTATTTGCCTTCGACATATAATTGCTTAGTGCGCATTTTAGCGTAGTGAATGCTAATTAGACTTTGACAGTTTAAAAAAAAATTCCAAAAAATTTCTGAAGCACTTTTCGGACCATGTATTTGTAAAATCTGATAATTGTTTCATCAGTTATGCAACGTTTTTGTGACACACAAAGTAATGCAATCTGGGATCGTTAACGTCACTTCTTTGGGTATTCAAAATTTCAAAACAAGTTTTTCCCAAAACAACTTTCTGACCCTTTAGATGCGCTCCTTTCAGGATCCACCTAATGGATTTTCAGCAAAAAAAAAATGTTTTTTTCTTAACCTTTTTCTCTGACTACAGAAGGGAGAGTTTTCTCTCAGAGGAAAAGAAACCACCCTTAGAGCTTTTTTTGTTAATTTTTTTCTTTCAAAAGCCCAAGAAAGATGAATTTTTTAATATTTTAAAAATTTTCTTATCTGAAGCCACAAAGAAGTCGGACATCCAAGAAATTAAACAATTTTTTTTTTTAAAAAATCTATCCAGGAGAATTCGAAAAAAAGTACCCTAGCATCAATTAATTTTACATTGTAACGTAAAATAAAAAAAATGAAATTGTTCAATGATTTAAACTCACTTGTAGTATATGGCAGCGAAAAATGTTGAAACAATTAGTAGTGACAGAAAGACCAGCATCGTGAAAACCATGACATAATATTCACGTGTGCTCAAACATATTGTCTGTGATATGAGGGCGTTAATCTTTTGTTTTTGAACTGGCATATCATAGCGTGAGTCAAAAACCTGTTGACCAAAGAAAATGTTAATTATAATGAAAATTTGAATTGTTAAGGCAGAGTGCACACTTCACAAAAACTAACATCTTAACAAAAAGAAAAAAACGTAAATAATCATTTCTTCTAAATCAGGGGCTTCAATCTCGACTAAGTTTTTACAATTTAAAACCTACAATCAAAGTCTCTTTAATCTTAGCTTTACCAACCGTTTTTACACACACAAATCTACAACCGAGGCTCTCACTCACCCGTATTTAAAATACACATATAGTCTACAATTTTTGACGGACTTTTTTCATTTTTAAAAAATCATAAATTAAAATGCAATTTATCAAAAATCAAAGTTCAGATTCGGATATCTCGTGAAAAATCGATGTAATTTGACGTATCATACCCTAGCATAGCGTGAAGGAGAGAGTCTTAACATATCGACTTACTAACATATGAGTCCAGCATGGCAACATGGTTAGTTGCTAAGTGGGTCAGCGGAGGAGGAAGAATAAGAATTTATCGTCAGGAATTCCTCGCGACGAAACTGAACGCTTAGCGCCAGTGGCGCCTCCCCGTCTGGTCTCATTTCGGGCGACCGGCGCGGCGCAGCGGCGTAGTTAAAAGAGGTGACGTGATGGAATCTGTGCGCATCGTTCAACCTCTTTCCTTCGTATTATGATAACGTATAATACATGAAATAGCATCATTTTTCTCACGAGGAATATGAATCTGAGCTTAGATTTTGGATTTATTGCATTCTAATTTATGAAAAATAATAAGAGAAATGACAGGGGTGATTTACAAATTTATCGCACAACGCACAGTGGTGTTTGTTTGTTTTCTTTTAATATGACGATCGTGAATAATGAAAGATGCATTTTTAGCTCTTTATTTAATGTTGATTACTTTGTACTTTCAATTGATTGTGATTTTTTGAAGTGAATTGATTAGGTTGATGCTATTACGTATTGCTTAACCTAAATCATCTATAGCCTTTTTCAAATAAAGTTCAATTTGTTTAAAACAAATTTTCAACGATCGTGTTTTGTTTTCACCCCCCCCCCNCCCCGTCCCCGTTTTTATGCATACGACTGCGGACAAAACTCTATCGGCTTCTTTTTTTCAAAACACGAGTTGCTGTCGAACTGATGAGACGATTCTATCGATAGAGCATCGGTATGAACAATCGATTTCGATAAATCGTGGACTTAGTTATTCTTCGAGGTTTTTCGGGGAAAAAAGCAAGTATCACCTATATACTAGTTAATTATCTCATGTTAAACCTTCAAAACGTTTAAAAGAAACAAAAAAAATTATAAATGATCAAAATACTGACCTTGATCATCTCTCTGACCCTCTCTTCATCAGTGCTGTTAGTGATTTCCAGAACGGAGCCTTCACCCTCAAGAGAAATCACTTCCTCGCTCTCTTCGCCGATTTCCCGTGCTTGTCTCCTTAGAGCTGGCTCATTTCTCAGGTCACTTTCCGCCACACTTTCCTCTGCAACATCCTCTTCTGCAACTGCTCTTCTTCGCCTTCCTAGAGAGGGCTCATTTCTCCCAGAATGACCCGTGCAGTAAGCCTATAGAATAGATAGGGTTAGAATGACACAATCCAGTTACATGAAGGCGGGCTGTAATGGTTTAAAGATGTCGATAGTCCTAACTATTTTATTATCGATAAAATTGCAAAAAACCGTGACTGACCTTCGAAATATCGCAATTTTCCGTCGGAAAATGCCATTTGAAAAGAGGCGACGCTTAGTAAATGCATTTATACTGAGACGGAAAATTCTCACAAAATGTCCGGAAGAAAATTGTAATTTTTAAGTTCGTTACCGTTAAGATCAAGCTTTTCAAAACTATAAAATAAAAACTTACCGGCTGACAACCATCCCTACAGGTTCTAACAGTGGCCTCAAAAACAAGGAAGTTAGATTCAGGAATTTTGAAAGCGTTGAATCTTGCCTCAAGACCATCACCCTCTCGAGAACGATCTAAGCCAGGAAAAACATAATTGTCGACAGGGCACCTACAAACAGATTAGTAGCGTTATAGATAATTTATAAATACTCATAAACGAGAAACACGTAGTTTATAACACAATTATTAGGTTTCCGGGCTATTCATAATCGCAAAGAAACAAATATTAAGCTTTCAGCCGAATTTCATTTTAATAATAAGGAAACTTAGGCAATGCTTAAAAAAAACAATGTGCAAGAGGATATTCATTTAAGGTGATTCGACGGTTGCCATTTTTAGTTTCAGAGCGACGTGCGGTATATCGCATCAATTCGTTCCATAATTTCAGCAACATGTTATTTTTTTCGAATTTTGAGGTCGCACTTCTGTTATCATGAGACTAAACAATTCGTGTGCCAAATTTGGCAAAGAAATTCAACATATTAAATGCAGGTTTTTTTCAGAGAAAAAATATCGCATTATAGGGCAGTTTCGATGTCAGCATCAAATGCAATATTTTTCTTTTAAAAAAACCCCGCCTTTATTACGTTATGGATTTCTTTGTCAAATTTGGTGCATGAATTCTTTAGTCTCATGGCAACAGAAGTACGATCTCAAAATTTGAAAAAACATGACAAGTAGCTGGAATTATGGAACGAAATGATTCAATTTATCGCACGTCGCTCTGACACAAAAAACGGCAATCGTCGAATCACCTTAAGCATTCTCACCACATCAAGTGAACCCTCTCGTGCTAACCTGAAAATCGATCGATCGTTCATTTAACCTACGATATTGTTGACTGTCCTCCTTCATTTCGTTCAGTCCCCACGAGGTATGAGCAATATCACTCAAATTTTAACCAAAAGTTTAAAATACGTTTAAAATCTTAAATCATAATAGTAACGCATAACGCATAACGCTCAAGGCGCGAAGCACTTCGGGAGGTTAGCCCGCGAAACGGTCAGAAGACGTACTATAGCCCCCTAGTTAATTCAACATTGGCATGGAGAACCTCCAGCATCCCTTGAGTGAGCTAAACAAAATATTTATGTACCCATATCGGTCTATAAGTTGGACGGATCTTCCTGTGTACGGATCTCTGGCTATGACGTTCGTCGCAAAAATGTCATTGACATAGTTATAACCATCTTGAGCCTCCAGTCGGAATGTGAGTGGATCTCCAACTGCGATGGTGTTGGTTGGTCGACCTTGGAACAAGATCATAAGCCGCACGCGGGAACTCAATGAATTTTCCGCAGGAAGGTACTCGATTGGAATTGGGCTCCCGGAACTAGAGAACATTGAAACAAGCAATTATCAAGAATGGAAGGCCGAATCGAAGCGCAGAAATCTAGCAATTTGGCAACACCTGGTTTTCTCCATTTAAATCTATGTAAAGTAATCGATTCTTGTCGGAGCACCTGGTCCCTCCAAGAATCGGTATGTCGCAGGCAATTAGCAATCGCCGGCAATGTACAAGCCAGTGGTGAATAAACATGGAAAATTATAAAATTATAAAATAAAAGAACAAGAATACACTGCTGATGATGTTGCCTATAATGTGAATAGGCACTTTTCCACTCTTAAAACATGGCAGAATTATGCACACTCAGAACAGAGTGCAGTAAACTCCGTGACATTAGTTGGGTTGAGATCGGACAGGCAACTAAACTAACGCCGTGACAAAGCGTAGAGTATCACAGAAAATGAAGGCGCTTCAAGCCGAGCTCATACTTTTTAAGACCATAACCTTAAAAATTGCATTATGTCGATGCGCATAATTGCGATTTATTGAAACAACGTGTGAACCGCTTGCAAATTGCCTGCGACAGATACATTTCCATAGGTTCAAATGAAGGAAACCCGGTGTTGCCAAATTGCTGGATCCGCCAATGTTGAAACTTCAACAATTTGATGCCAGGGTTGAAATATTGGACAGCTTATTTTGCAACCCCTAATGAGAGCTCGAAGCCAACTGAGCATCAGTTTTTCAAAATCAATGTAATTTTTAAAGACTCCTGTGGCGTGGCGTGCTTTGCGATATATCGATTGACCTGCCGTTTAAACCCACGTAAAAGGATCGATGAAGAGGGTGTTCACAACAAACACCTTAAAAATCGATTCCTTACCACAGCTTCAAATGGGAAAATATCGATAAATGATCACTCACGCCTCGCCATTGAGAGACTCGTGCCAGTTTTTGGTTGACAATTTGCAACAACCAGTAAGAATGTTTACTTTTAAGAGCACTTTCTTTGTAACAGTGAAATGAAAAATTGTTTTTATTTTAACTTTCCGCACTGAGTTATGAGTAGTCACTTTTGATTTTTGAGCTGTAAATATGTTTTGAAAATTTGACATCTCCCCTGAACGTCGGCTCTAAAGGTCAACCTCACTCATTTGACAACGTCTGAAGCAGTGGCGTGGCGTGTTTCGCAATGTATCGATTGATCTGTTATTTAAATCTCTGGAAAAAGATCGATAAACAGGGTCTTCGTGACGAACAGCTCAATAATCGATCTTTTACCATGGCTTCAAATGAGGGAAAATCGATTATCGATCATTCACGCCTCGCCACTGGTCTGAATGCTCGTAAATCGTTCTTCCTTAGCACAACGGTATATTGCTCAATTATTATCATTTGAAACTCCTCAGGGGGTAAAATGCTACGATTTTTTTTCTATTCGCTAAAAAACTTATTTTAAATAAAAAATAAAATCTTACTTGGCTGTCATATAGCTTGAAGTGACCACTGCTTCTCCAGGGCCCCGAAACAAACACGTCAAATTATAACGCTTATCCCGACTCGTTTGCACAAAATCACTGAATTGAACGACCACAATATTGGTCATGGTGTCACCATACTGAAAAATTAGAAAATCAGTTTATTTATTTATGTTTCTATTCATTTTTTACTTATTCTTACGGAGAACACTCATGAAATAAGATTGAATAAGAACAAAAACTTAAAATTTTCAGTGACTAGGGAGATAGACAGTGAGCTGAGGATCAACCCCACAGTTAACTTTTTGTATTTTAACAAATAAAATAAGGAAATATCATTCACTATATATATATCACTAATATATTAGAGCGCCTTCAGTGTCGTATGATACTGTGCAATACCTCTGGTGTGAAATAGTTGCTTCAAGCGCCGTGACAGGCGGGCAGCCAACGCGAAACACGCATTGGCGCCTACAAACCTAACAGGGATACTTCACGCGTTGCGCAATGCGTGAAGTATCCCTGTTAGGTTTGTAGGCGCCAGTGCGTCGCCGCTCCGCTATGTGTTAGGCTCTAATATTTTATTTGGCGGAGTCAGCGTTATTCAACTCATGATTTTGAAATGTTTGCACATCCTGTATGGATTATTCTCATTTTAATTTATGAAAAAAATATGTATTAAAGGAAAATATAATGTGCTTTTTGTAAATATATTAAGGTGATTTCGTACAAACTTAAGGATTTACAAAGCACACGAATTTCTACACAATTTCTTATAGCCTTTTATAATCGATGGCGAAAAAGCAACAGCCAGGCGATGAAGTGTAAAGCCCGGCGATAGGAACTATAGCCCGGCTGCAGAATTAATTTTGTATCGCTTCGTATAGCCCGGCCGTATGATTTTCTCCGCATTCTACAGCCAGCTGTATGATTTTCTGCAGCCTTCTTTAGCCGGCTATAAGAATTCCTATGGTATTTTGAAACGCAGCTCTTATCGCCAATTTTTACCAAGGTGCTTACTTCGTCGCAATCAGCGGCGTAGCGTGCTTTGCTATATAGATTGATCCGTCAGTTGGACGTATTTCTGCCAAACGAAACTGTGCGCAATAAAACATGAGCCCTGAGACCCATAAGAATAATTGCATAACAGGGCTCACGTCATAATGCACATAGTTCCGTTTGATAGAAATACGTCCATTTGAACCTAAGGAGAACGATCGATTGAGAGGATGCTCGCAACGAACACCTTCATAATCGATTCTGTACCATAACCTCAAATGGGAAAAATCGATACTCGATCATTCACGCCCAGCCCCTGATCGCAATGGAGGTACGCGGTGTCGTACCTTACACCGAAAAAAAAGGTCTTAAATTTAACGCCAAGAAGTGTTTTTTCTTGAATCAAGAATTTTTCTGCTTAATATAAACTACTTCTTCGCTTTTCCCGAGCATTGTTTTCTTGTATCAAAGAAAATTCAGCTTAAGTCAAGATAAAACAAATTTTTGGCGGCAAACTCAAGAATCATCATGCTTTAGCTAAGCACTTTTTTTTCAGTGAGCCATCGACATGTCTCGGCCGTCCGTGGTCTGTCATGTACAAATAGTTAAAATAAGTAAAATAAACGTGTTAAATGTTAAATCCGGGAAATCATGGGATCCGGTTGAGCAGCTGCCGGTAAATCTAGTTTTTAATGCAGTACATGGAATTTTTGAAGGATAATAAAAGGGAAATGAATTACCCTTTGCGTTCCGCAGTCCGGGTAGCCTTGAGCTCCACTAATCCTTAACACGTTTGCGGTGCCTCCGTTTCCTCGATAGAAACAACGATCATAATAACCGTACGTGTAAATGCGACCAATAAAGCCCTCAGGAGTTCTGAGAGTGAATTCCATTCCATCCTCACTGCAAACTTGTGACACTGAATAAAAATAATTTCTTTATCAGAGCCAGGGTAGCTAGTACATTTGCAATATTATAAAAATACATTTGAGGGGAGAAAAGAGAGAGAATTTGAGATCAAGACAATTTTGCAAGTTTTATAAAATTTAGTCTTGCGTTGATTGGAGCCAAAAAAGAGGGCAATTAAACATGTTTTGGCGAGCAGTAACATGTAATTGAATTATGGGAAGGCCAACAATACTGCCGTGATAGCGAAGAGAGCCGTAAGTGCAAAAATGAAGTTTTGAGAAAACGGGCTCAGAAGCTTCTGACAAGATCATTTTATTGAAAGAAGCCTCCGTTCTTTGTCAAATTGCCACTAATCGTCCGGAAGACTCCTAGAAATCGTTTGGATGATTCAAAATCGACTGATTTTATTTCCATTACATAAAAAGGGTATTTTTCATTTTCATGCTGGGTTATTGTTAGGCAAGACAGCCGTAAGTGCTATCTTCTGCATGCTTTCGTGGTTGCGTTTTGGACGCACAACAAATACATTTGAAGGTTAGAAATTGGCAGAAGATGGCGGCACTTTACTGGAAAGCACTGTTTTCATTGGCTCTCATGCATCTACGGCTGTCTTGAAAAAAAACTGTGTCATTTTTGTGCACTTACGGCTTTTACATACGTTTCGTTTTCATTGAATTAGGATGAATTTTGCTGTTTTAGCTGTCTCAGTAATTTCATCTAAAAGAGTTTAGACGAATTTTGAAGAAAACTCGATTTCGAAAATTTTGCACTTACGGCTCTCTTCGCTATCACGGCAGAATAACGCTTGCTCTCAGTGCCTTTGTACTGCACATACTTTATGAACAATAAATAGGCTTTCAGTCATATAGGATCATCTTCATGGACCTTTCCACAAAATTATATCACTAATACATAGCAAATAATAAAATGTATAAGAAACTAATTACACAGGTTAAAATTAATAAATTGAAATCAAGTGGGTACCGATGTCTAAAAATAACACGAAATAAGGCAATGCAGCTCGATAGGAGGAGGAAAAGGAAAACGAGACTGTTGCACAGCGTCGTGGAACAGTACTGCCGTACCAAGGAAGAACGCCGTTTGAACATTCGGGAGCTACCAAATTTCCCTTGATAAAACATGTCGACGGTGAAACTACCAAACCACGTATCTCGGTTTGCGACGTCGCAGACTTCCTGTCATACTTTATTTTTTAAATGAAAAACTACTTAACATCCAGTCTTGAAAATTTCTGTGATTTTTCCTCTTTGTGCGGAGAAAATTCCGTGAAAATTTCAAGGAATGATATTGATTTGGTCTACTTCAAAAAAATAAAATGTGAGCGTAGATTTTTAAACACCGCAAACGAGATACGTGGTTTGGTAGTTTCACCGTCGATGTATTTTTGGCGACATTCTTGCACATGTGTCCTTGAAATTTTCAGATATTTTAGATGAAAGTACGCACGAAACTGTCTGAAAATTTTGGAAAAAAACATTCACAAATTCCCCAGTAATTTCAGTTTTATAGATGGAGACTTGGCAACGCCCAAAGGCTCATACGGCGTTCTTCCTCAGCACGGCAGAGTAAATAATGTTTGTACACCCTCCCTCTTCACGCTAAGCGATTAACAGTTTTATTGAGACTCACCATCCAAACACTCTTGTCCACTTCTCCCAGACGCAGCACGTTCGTAGAAATCATAGTCTCCAGTTGTTTCAAAAAACGTCGGGTTGTTCATATCCAAATCTCTGGTGTCTCGATCACTCAGCTCACAATTTTCACGTTGCGCACCATATGGAGCCGCTCTGCAAGTAAAACGTTGCAATATTCTCTGATAGATAAAAATATCATCAATTTATATATTTAATAATGTGGCTTGCAGCACAGTATTTCAGTCATAGCTTTCATTATTTATTCATCGCTCCTGCAGAAAAAATTTTGTTTCACAACAGGTAACAATCAGGATAATCTTACGCGTACACCACTGTAAGTATGTACTTGTACCACTAAAAATGAATTACTAATTTTCTACTAGTTTCTACCTTCAAAACTTATTCACTCATTGGCACCAAAATTTTTATTATATGGTTCCATAAAATTCTAATAACTATCATTCAACCCCCCTCTCTTTCCCAAAAAGAAAAGGATGACATGAAAGACATGACATTTTTGACACAAACTCCAAATGTGGATGTTTATTTCGTCACATTTTAAACTGTAAGGGGTGCTTCCAGCAGAAAATTTCACGAGAAAACCAATGAAACCACTTTAGAACCTCAAAATATTGTGTAAACGAAGTTATAAGCGTTTAAAGTTTCCAAATTTTGTCCGCCTTCTCCATGACTCGACCCCATGTGCGGCGGAGGGAGACCGGGCACCAGTTGTTTGCTAGAGTCCCTTTATACTGAGAGTCAAGACAATGCGAATCCATTTCTGATTGGTTAACCGGATTTTAGGCCTTCACAGTGTCACAAACGGGAATAAAGCTTACATTTTCACCAATTGCAAAGATTATAATCTGGAATGGACCGAGGAATTTCGGGTTCGACAAGGAACAAACGGAATGAGAGAAGGAACGGAGAAAGGAATTGAAGAATGAGCCGATCAAAGAATGATCAAAGATTACGAAAAACGTTCAATTTGTGTAATCTTTATTCCCGTTTGTGACTCCATGAGGGGTGTTATCTTGACTCTCAGTATAAAGGGACTCTAGGTTTGCCCAACGAATAATACTACCCTTACAAATAGATTCACTGGGCAGCTGAGAAAAGAAAAAAATGAACCTGTAGTTGAAAGAGCGGCAAATGAAATCCCGGGAATCCGCACACTCCCGCTCACACATTGAAAGAGTTGGCGTGGCAGACATCCGCCGGATGAATTGACGCCGCATCCTCATCCTCACGCCAATCTGTCAAAAAATTCAATTTTATTTGTAAAGTTATTCTTGAAATACCCTGGTAAAAATTGGCAGTAGAATCTGTGTTCCAAAATACCATAGACCTACAGCCGGCTGTGAGATTTCCAATAGCTTCTATAGCCAGCAACACAATTTCTTATAGTCTTTTATAGCCGATGGCGACTAAGTAACAGCCTGGCGATAAAGTGTATGCTAAACGTTACTAATTGCGGATGCTAGGACTTAGTGAGTTTTTGGACTACCGCTCTCTTTTTGGGCCGTAGTATCTTGATTTATTTTGCGAGGGAAGCTCCGTACTTTTGAAGGATGCCTGCCATTCCTAATATGTTGGAGCGCCTTCAATTTCGTACGATACTGTGCAATACCTCTGGTGTGAAATAGTTGCTCTAAGCGCTGTGGTATGCTGCGGCGCGGCGTGGCGAGCGGGCAGCCAGCGCGGAACGCGGATTGGCGCCTACAAACCTAACAGGGATACTTCACGCATTGCGCAATGCGTGAAGTATCCCTGTTAGGTTTGTAGGCGCCAGTGCGCCGCCGCGCCGCTCCACGTTGTGTTAGGCTCTAATATTTAATCTCGTGGAGTCAGCGTTTTCGACTCATGACTTTGAAATGTTTGCACACTCTGTATGGTTAATTCTCATTTTAATTTATGAAAAAAATATGTATTAAAGGAAAATATAATGTGCTTTTTGTAAATATATTAAGGTGATTCCGTACAAACTTAAGGATTTACAAAGCACACGAATTTCTACACAATTTCTTATAGCCTTTTATAGCCGATGGCGAAAAAGCAACATCCAGGCGATAAAGTGTAAAGCCCGGCGACAAGAACTATAGCCCTGCTGTTTAATTTTTTATCGCTTCGTGTAGCCCGGCCATATGATTTTTTCCACTTTCTACAGCCAGCTATATGCTTTTCTATCGCCTTCTTCAGTCGGCTATAAGAACTCCTATGGTATTTTGAAATGCAGCTACTATCGCCAATTTTTACCAGGGTAGACGAGAAACGGTACGTAACAAATAGTCAAAAAGCTTGAGTCTGAATTTAACAACTACTCAATCTGCGTTGATGGAGACAGCAATTCAAAATTGACAGGTAGATTGCACGGGGCACCGTACTCGCTACGATTGATACTCGTACCAGTGGCGTAGCGTGAATTGCGATATATCGATTGTTATGCCATATAAACCTATGGAAAAGGATCGATAAACAGGGTGTTCGCAGCGAACACTTTAATAATCGATTCTTTACCATAAGTTTAAATGGCTTAACAATCGATACATCGCAATTCACGCCACGCCACTGACTCTTACAATGGAAAGACTTACGTAAAATATAGGTAGTGGAAATATTGATTGGATACAGAAAGTTGAGCGATTATTTGCCTGGCAGTGACACCTCACACAAGTTTTGCCGTGCCTTCTGACTGTGAGCATGAAGGTATTTCATAATTGAATCTCTCAGTTCGAAAGCAACTTAACTCAGGTTTTTTACGATGTTCATTTTTCTGCGTAGAAACACTACTTTTCTGGCTGTTACGCAGTTTATATCGTCTCCTGAAAAATTCATTTTTCCGATTTGCGTCGTTTCAAACCGAGAGATCCAATTATATGATGATGCTTGATTTTCAAATTTGGGGAGAAACTTTTCTTGGACGGTCAGAGCATTTACCTCTGGGGGTTGAATAAATTAACTCGACAAGTTGAGGTTTTTTTAAGAGGCTCTAGATGATGCAATTAAAGGTTTAAATGTATGATTACACAACCGTAATGATAGCAGTGAAGTGCGTACATTTTGTGAACTACGAGTTCTTCCGTCATCATGATATTCCTTCATGGATAAAATAATTTATAGCAACCGTAGGCGGATCTATTGGGAGGGGGGGGCATAGAAGGCGTACGCACTCTCCTCGTTCGCTCAAAAAAAGGAAGGAAGAAGATAAAAAGGAAAAGAGAACTAAATAAATGGACGTAAAAAGAAGGGAAAACGCTTATACTTGCTACTTATTCATGACTAAATCGACTTAAACTGTGTAATAAATGCTTTAAATTTCGGTAATTTCTTACGACTCCCCCTCCCCTCTACCCCTCGGTGAATGAAGTTCAGAAAATAATAATAATTATAATCCGCCCCTCTCGTTTAAGGTGTCTGGATCCAGTGGCGTGGCGTGCTTTGCGATGTATCGATTGATCTACCATTTAAACCTATGAAAAAGGATCGATAGGCAGGGTGTTCGCAGTGGACACCCTAATAATCGATTCTTTACCATAGCTTCAAATGGGGAAATATCGATAATCGACCCTTCACGCCACGCCACTGGCCTGAAGGCTCGTATAGCAACTATAATTGCAACACCGTGAGAACTTAGGAAGCTTTAATACTAAGAAAAACTTACTTGTTTAAAACCATCTGCATCGTCGCAGCGAATATTGAACGGCCGACCAATATCAGCTGGCCCTCCATACAAGGGCGGAGGATATCCTGGACCAACAGGGGTTAATGGAGTTATGGAGGGAACCCCACCCAGTCCTGCAATAGGAGGTCCAGGCGTCGGATAACCCACACTGGATGGCGTCTGGCTAGGATACCCATATCCCCCAGAAACATCCCCACTGTGGCCCGCTATGTTACCCCAGTATCCCCCCGGTGTTTCCGACGAGTAGGGGCTCCCTCCCAGTGGCGTGGATGATCCTGCAGTGTAACCAGGAAAACTCCCACCACCATAGACACCTCCAAATGCACCTGGAAAAGGGATATTTTTAATGAGGTGTAACGGTCATTCTCATGAGATTAAGGGAATGGACCACTAGACATGGCACGAATTCAAGCATTCTGGTACATGTTTCTTAACCAGAATTTCACGTAAAACACGATACGCAAAACGAAAACTAATGAAACAAACTCCAAACGAAGATATTAACGTTTTTATTTCACATTGGTTACGAGAAATTTGAACTGCCCGCTGACAAGAAACTCAAAGGTCTACGTGAGTCAAATCGCGCACTACAACGGTTTCAACAAGCTTCTCAATCGAGTAATGTTCATTTCCCACTATGTATTGTTCAAACTAAAAGCAATTTGCTACAGCTGAGCCAAAGCGTCAAGATTGAGGTTGCAGATTTTCATATCGCAGAGACTGTCATGATAACGTTTAGCGCGCGATGTGAATCACGCAGAGCATTGAGTTTTTATGAGCGGGTGGTTTGAATTCACGCATCAAGAATCATTAAATATCTTCGTAAGGAGTTAGTTTCGGTAATTTTCGTTGTGCGTATCGTGTTTTACGTAAAATTTTGATTAAGAAACATGTATCAGAATGCAAATTCGTAACTTGTCTAGTGGTCCATTATATTTTGGACATAGTCAGCTTAAGTCAATTTTATCGCTTGCTGTACACTGCTAAAAATCGAGATGTGAAATTTGGTGCCGGAGCCCACACAGCGACCCAAAACCCCGAGTGATATGGTTGCGAAGTAAACTTTGCACCATAAAAAGGATACGACACTCCACAAAACGAGTAGATTTCGCTCCGTAATAGAATAAGTCATTCCGTAAGGAGAATACAGGGTGTCCCAGGTTTAAGTACGAATTTTGACGGAGTCGATTCTTTGGGTCAAAAAAAAAGAAGTTTTTGTGGCATAAAGTTTTTTTTCCAAAAATGCTTTCCCAGGAGGCTCCATTATTCCCCTATTATCCCCTATTAGTCCCTATTATCTAGAAAACGATGAGTCTTTGCGGAAAAACGCAAGATACATCTTATCAATATTTTTCAACGCTGAATTTAGTAGTGCCGTCAAAAATTAATTTTTATCGCTAGAAACATTAATTTTGACCACTTTTAGGTTCGGTACCCCCCACCCCCAAGACCTCCCTCAAAATGAGTCTTCCCTATTTGGAAATCAAAATGAAAAGAGCGCTAAAAATTACCCCCAGTTACCAATTTTCATTAATATTGGTTGATAAACTTTGTCACAGTTTTAAAGAGACAATTTTCTTTTCTCCACCTATGGAGTGCCGTAGTTCCCAGGGAAAGCGTTTTCGGAAAAAAAGTTACACCACCAGAACGTCTTTTTTTTACCCAAAGAATCGACCTCTTCAATCTTCGTACTTAATCCGAGGACACCCTGTAAGTTCCGCTCTGCATTCATATCACTCGAGGTTTTTGGGCTGTATACAGACTCTAGACGGAGATATACACCGAATTCTTTCCGATATTTTTAGATGAATAATGAGTGTAGATGGATGATGAGCTTCGGGTGAAAAGATCTGCCAAAAAAGTTTACCAAATTTCGGCTTGTTGGCAAAAAAAAATTCTAAATACGTTGTTTAACATCCACTTAGTGACGGCAGGTCATCAGTTGAATGTTGGGGTCCCGAAATTAAAAGCATTCACTATTACCGAGATACCGAGGGAGGGTCTTTCATCGTCTCTTAGCGAGACGAATGTGCGTTTTTCGATTAGGTAACTATTCGTTGCCCTCCCATAAGTTTGTTGCCTATGCGGCGAAATTGAAGGCAAATCATTGATGACGCTATTTACCAATACATTTGCGAGGTTCTATCAAAGTTTATGGAGCAGGATAGATGTGCATTTTACGAATAGATAGGTAACTAACTATTCGCGCTCTACGGTAAGTTTGTTGCCTATGCGGCAAAATTGAAGGCGTGCATATTGAAAGAGCTATATATGCGTAAGTTCGCGGATTATGTAGGTATATTTTGTTTCTATCAGATAAACGTGCGGTTTTTTAATAGATAAATTTGGACAGCTTTGAGCAGAAAGGAACAAAGCCACGTCAGCTATTGTCAAATTTAATTGGGCAATTTAACTTTTTATATGAAAACGGTTGTACGAATTTCAAAGCAAATTTCAGCAAATTTTTTGCACAGTACGAAGCAAGTTCCTAAAAAAAAAACAAAGGAATCCGTTTAAACGTTCTCTTGTAAAAAATTAAATTGCCCAGTGAAATTTGGCAATAGCTGGTGTGGCTTGGTTCCTTTTTGCTGAACGCGGTCCATTTGTACTCCCCGGTACGTTTGGTGCCTTGGTGCACAGTGGATCGAGTCAATCGAAGAGGTCGGGCAAGGATTTTTTTGACTAAAACTGCACATTTTGAAGTTTATTACCTCATATTTTAAATTTCAAGGGGTGATTAGAGAAGAAAATGTCACGAGATAACCAATGAAACCACTTTTAGAACCTCAAAGTTTTGTATAAACAGAGTAATAAGCGTTAAAAGTCTCCAAATTGTGTCCGACCTCTTCTATTGACACGGCCTGGTAAGCGAGGGCTAAATTGAAGGCGAACCTCAAATATGCACGCTACCTGCGATGAGTTCACGCATTGTTTGTTGGTTCTAAGATAGATTATGGAGTGAGATAAAAGTATTTTTAAGGAGGGGGGGATTGAAATATTACTGTTTTCCGGCGGCAATCGGTGCCACTTGGAGTTAAAACATGTTTGATGAATTTGGCTCACCCAGGGGTTTCCCAATCGATGGATAAGGAGGTCTACCATGGCCATGATAATTGGAGTCTTGCCCCAAAGGATCAGGTCTAGCCGGCACTGGGGGCAGATGACTTGGTGTCGGATTGCCTAAAAACAACAATGCAAAAAATAGTCAGGATCAAAATGACGAATAGTTTTAGAAATTTAGTTCTTCTCAATTTCTTCTTCTTTAGTTCTTCAGATCGCGATAAGCTGGGATTCGATCGGAGAATGACTTTATCGCGATTTTATCGACGTCGATTTATTGCAATATTATCGGAAGAAAAATTGCAATAAATTGCAATTTCATCGCATAAATTTGCAATAAAATCGCAATTTTATCGACGGTGATTTATCGCAATATTACCAAGTAAAAAATTGAGACATATGGTGATAAAATTTCAATTTAATAGAATGCGGTTTTATAGATACAATCGCGACAAGATTGAAGATAATCGCTCAGATGTTGATGATCCTAGCGATTTTTCGCCAAAAAATTGTAAAAAAATCGCAACTTAATTTCAGAACATCTTGATTTCTCCGTTGAAAAATGCTGCTTGGGCTCTGGTACTCTTGAGCCCCCTGCTATTACTAATAGTCATGATCTACAAAATTCGCAGTCGATACGTCTTAAGCATATTATGTCCTCCAGAAAAACTTGAGAAATTAGAAGCAAAAAATAACTAAACTTTAGCTCAATAGTGAAAAAAAAGGTCGAAAAACGTACTCATTAGGTTCTCGTAGTAATCGTAGTCCGCGTCATAGATTATCCTGTGTCCATCTCGTTGGTTGAATCGACTCAAACGACAAATGCGGAATCGTTCACTGTAAACTGCTGAGCGGCATTGAAAACTGACTTGCCGAAGACATTCGTCTAGACACTCACTCAATGATCGACTTGTAATCTCTGAGTGAAACTCGCCTCCAAGTCGGCTGTTCCGATAGCGCTGAAAAGCTGTGTCTGGCCGGCGCCCGTCAGCAAAAAGGTGGGATGTGACTGAATTTTCTGGAAACTCGTTTGATTTTTCCACTGGTGGAAAGAGAAATAAAAAGTTATTTAATGAATTCAAACACATAGACTTTCAGTACAGGGCAGTTGTACTAGTGGAAGATTAATTTATTTTTATCCATTGAGTAGCTCACATGTACGGGTCGATTTCATCTTTTCATCTCCCCTTTGAACCAGCAGGGAGGCGTTAATGATCGATTATCGATATATTTCCCCATCTAAAGCTCTGGTAAAGAATCGATTATTAAGGTCTTCGTTGCGAACACCCTGTTCAGTGTTCACCCACTGATTTGAACTTAAATGCTGGAAGGTCAGTGTGCCTAATGGACATACTACACATTAGTTAAAGGTTCTAATTATTACTGAAATTAGTATTTTGCCTCCTATTTGTGACACTCAATTTTACGTTGAAGAGACTTTTCTCCTTCATATTTTTGCGGTGTTACAGAAAATAAGAGTTTTGAAGAAATTTGACTCTATTCATTTACCTTCTCAAATGATTGGTTCAATTCAGGAATTTTCTGAAAAATTTGATTTTATTTATATCTGTTCAGTGTACACCATTCAGTGGCACTCACAATGTTTTACTAAGCGGCAACGTCGCAAAAGTGCGAAGTTTTGTCTGTTTCAAACGTAGGAAAATTTCGGATTTTGCGGCGATATGTGACGAAATTTTAAATAAAGTCATGCTGACATCAGGGGTTGAACCGCTCGAACCCAACATTGCTAGGGTTCACCTATTCTTTATGCAAAAAGTTGCTATTTTTTGACAAGAGGTTGGAATTTTTTACTCCAATTTGATTGTATAAAATTGAGATTTATTGACCAAATGAAGGGAAAATATTGTATTTTCGTGGTTAAAAAAATTGCAATACAACTGCAACTTTCTCTCAGTATTTTTGGTGCATGTGCTATTTCTGCCGTAAATTGGATGAATGAAGCTGATAAAACCTCAGAAAAGTCGCTATGAGCAGTTTTAAGCTGACACAGAGACGTGGTTGGTCCAGTGGCGTGGCGAGCTTTGCGATCTATCGATATTTCCCCATTTGAAGCTGTAGTAAATAATCGATTATAAAGGTGTTCGCTGCGAACACCCTGATTATCGATTCTTTTCCATAGGTTTAAATGGCAGATCAATCGATGTATAGCAAAGCACGCCACGCCACTGGATTGGTCTACCGCCAAAAGTTGGACCACCGAGTATTAACCGAAGATTCGTTATAACTTCAATACAGTGACATATTTTAGGCCAACTTTCCCTTGCATTGCAATACCGCAGAACCGAAGTATTTTTAATGCTCTCAGGACAAAAAAAGAAGAAGAAACGAATACGCATACTTACAACTATCCAAGCATACTAGGTCATACAAGTCATGAGTGGGGCTACTGCTTGTGCGCAGATCATCTTTTTGGGACATTGAGTCCTCCTCAAAAATAATGCAACGGCGAATTTGCTCATCATACTCTATTGCTCGGCAAAAATACCTATCAAACAAGATTATATATCACAAAATAAAAATTAATCCTCGCCAGAAGCGATGTAATTTGATAGAGATAGCATTTCGGTGGAAAATGAGATGACTTGAGATAACTTGCAAGTAATGGAGAATTTGCATGGAAATTTTTTATCGCTTCATCTGAAAGTGCTTAAAGAGCTGATTTCACAGAATTTTTTATAATTTTTTTCTGCTATTGGAAATATATAAAAATAGATTTGGAAGTGAGAAAATGCACCGCCTATTGACGTCATATCGAGGCATTTCCGCTTTAAACACACGTATTTTAGCAGATTAGATAATTTTGTCATATCTTCTCGACTGGAGATGTTGCATGTGTGAGGGATTTGCGATTTGACCATTGATTCTTATGTAAAAGTTTGCGAGAAACACGATAGTGCCATTGGTTTTCTCTGAAATCATCTCACAAGCTCAAAGAAAGCTCTCAAAGTGAGGCCAAAATGGAGGAGATATCCCACCCTACCCTTTTACAGAGTCCACTTTTACATCAAAACAAATTCTCCATGCAAAGATAGGGAGCAAATACATTAGCAGGGCTGCCACTTTATTTGAGGACTCAAAAAGTGAAAACAAAGCAACCCTGCTAATGTATTTGCTCCCTATCTTTGCATGGAGAGTTTGTTTTGATGTAGAGGTGGACTCTCAGGGTAGGGTGGGATATCCCCTTCATTTTGGCCTCAACTTGAGAGCTTTTTTTGAGCTTGAGAGTTGATTTCAGGGAAAACTAATGGCACCATCGTGTTTCTCGTGAACTTTTACATATGAATCAACAGTTAAATCGCAAATTCCTCACATATGCAACATCTCCATTACTATTTAATTCATGAACCAAGGGTACCCTCATGATCAGTTCACGCAGTAGTTTCCACTTAAACACAAAATTCATCAAATTTCAGACACCTGCAAATTCTCTATCAGAAGAAAAGAGAGATACGAACGAGAGCTAAAAGCCGGCCCCAATCTGAAAATACCTATCAATGATAGTCATCTAGCTAGGGGGGAGGGGGGATAACAATCGAGGGAAATATCCCCAGTAAGAGTCCGATGTTAGGAGAAAGTCCGGGGAAAATGTAGATCCCTGGAAGGGAGGGATCAAAATCCAGAGATCCCAGGGGAATGAACATCCAGGGGGTATCCAAAGCTGGGGGGATAAAACTCGAGGAAAATTTGAACAAGGGAACTTACTTTTCAGCTCTCAAACATTGAGATTGACACTCGGGTAGTGATAAATTAGCATATATATCAACCTCAAATGGTCCAGCAAGTCTCTTGTTTTCCTCTTTGACAAAAATTATTGGCCCGTCACAACGCCTCTCAGCTGAAATATGAAAGCAAAATAGCATGACATTGATTATAATCGGCAGCTTTTGAAGAACCAAAACTTTGAAATATTTTTGAATCAGTAAACTTGCATATGAGGCTTGTAATCAACACTTATCATTTTAGGGGGTCATATTTAAAATTTTGTCGGTTCGCGGGCCACCCTTCTCCCTTTATCACATTCCCTCCACGCTACTAAATTTACTATTTCACGATGCGGATATGTAACTATTTTTTTTTAAATTTGGTGCAACTCACTTTTTTCGTTTGGTCAGAATTTTTCTTTATGCGATGGCCATTCCGGACTCAAAAGTTTATCTTCAGGTACACATTAATGTTCACGAATATTTTTCGTTCACCAAACGATGTAAATAAATTCAATTTTTATAAAAAACTAAAATCACGCAAGACGGATACCGCGATATTGTTAATCAATGATTTAATCAGTCAAGTTAATCAGTCATTAACAATATCGCGGTATTGGTTTCGCGCGATTTTAGTTATTTATTTATTTTAATTTTTTTACACTGTTTGACGAGCGAAAAACATTCGTGAACATGAATGTGTACCTGAGGATGGACTATAATATTGAGTTCGGAATGACCATCGTATACAGGAGAAAATCTACTATAGCTCGGGACCAAACGAAAAAAGTGAGTCGCACCAAATTCATCATGTCACCCGAAAAAGTGTCACAAAATCAAATCCTTATTTTTTGGGGGGTTAATTATTTTATTTTTACCTCTCCTAGATAATATTCGACAGTGTAAGTCCGCAACTGCGTACCTCGTTTGCTGTGTTGGAAAATCTCCGCTCCTATTACATTTTTTAAAATACAAAAAATCAACACCATTCCCTGAAGCTTTCACAGAACTTTTTTCGCAAAGAAAAGAAAAACATGGCAGTTTAGTTGAGTAGTTTTCCGTTTAAAAAATGAAGTGTGATAGGTAGTCTGCAACGTCGTAAATTGAGTCACGTGGCTGCGGACTCACACCGTCGAATTGTTGGCATATAACTTGAAAGTTCCAGTGTAAGCAAAACCAGCTTAAAATTTTCCTCAGACATCAGGCATGTTTATTGTAGTTTTCGGGCTGTTGATATAACTCAACATGGGTCCTCTTTTCAATCTCTAAAAATTCTTCAGGCCGCTTCCATTGTTGAAGAGTTTAGACTTTGTTCGGAGGTGGCTACCGCCATTTATGATTTAAGAAGTTTTTTTGGAACAAAAAACAAGATAGATCACTGCATACCATTCAAACATGTGTTTTCTAGATAATCAGAGTTAGGATCATCTTCTAAAAGCTCTGGATGAGATCTCCGTGTGAAGCGGCTTAGCCAGCACGTTCGAGCAACTGAATCATAGGTTGCAGAACGACAAACGAACGAAAATTCATTCAAACACCTGAAATCATTCAAACGTAATTAAAATAAGAATGAAAGTAGTAAGTAACCAATGAAAAATGACAAATGTGGCTCAGGTTTGTTTTGCTTTGATGTGACCATTTACGGTCATCTCAATCTCAATTAAAAAGAAAACAAACTTATTGGATGATTGCTCAAGAGCATACCTATTCGAGGCTTTAACCATTGAATTTAAAATGTATTTTCAGTTTTAAAATTAAGAAATTTTCATTCTGTGTAATAATTTCAATTGGTATAAAAATAAGCTCGATTCCAAGGAAATTGAACAGGAAACTAACGATCAAATATGTATAATTACACTTTATACTCCATTTCTATTGCTAGTCAGAAAGTCCCTGTAACTTTGGAGAAAAACTGAGGGTGACTTCGTAAATAATTATTTCTTACAAAAACTGGTCAAATACGGAGACTGCAAGTGCAAGCTATATGATGCCCTTGCTGAGGAAGAACGCCGTATGAACATTCGACAGTTACCGCATTAAATTACCGCGGGAAAAAAATGTGTTTTTGAGGACGATTATGCGTGTTTTTCTTGAAATTTTCAGACACTTTATACAAAATTAAAAACAAAATCGTCCGAAAAAATTGAAGAAAAAAATTCAAAATTTTCCCAGTAAATTAAGATTATTTGAAGGAAATGTGGCAAAGTCTGAAGGTTTATACGGCGTTTTTCTTAGCACGGCAGTATGAAATAATGGACTATTTTCAATGTAAAGTAGATTTATGAAACCCTGGGCTGTATGGGTATAGCCCGAGTGCTGACCTGTCTTCACAATCTGTCCTATTAGTTGCAATGACTTCTTTTGTATCTGTTAAAGGAAGCTTCAGCTTTTTCCGTGCATGCCGCTCAAACACGTAGTGCCGATTGGGGCACTCTCGCTCAATTCGACTCGCTGTGAAAATAAGAGAGAAGAAAAATGGTTAGAGATCAAGATTATTCTAAAGTCGTCCATACGTCAAGAAATATTCACTCAAAGTAGTACAATGGGTCAGTTGCGCTGGTCATGCTTGATTGTTTTGGATTAGCTAAAAATATTGAGATCTGTCCAAACCGCAACTTTCTACGATCAATATTAACCGAGATATCGCCCTTTGAAATATAGGGATTTTGACGTCATCCAACGCGGTAATGACACCTTTAGTTTCTTCCACCGTGCTTTCATCCAAGTTTCACGTCGAATAACCACTGCAAATGTCCGCTACACCGCCTAATGAAACTAAGGTGGATGAAAACCCTGGTAAAAATTGGCGATAGGAGCTGCGTTTCAGAATACCATAGGAATTCTTATAGCCGGCTAAAGAAGGCTGTAGAAAATCATACAACTGGCTGTAGAATGCGGAGAAAATCATACGGCCGGGCTATACGAAGCGATACAAAATTATGCAGGCGGGCTATAGTTCCTATCGCCGGGCTTTACACTTTATCGCCTGGCTGTTGCTTTTTCGCCATCGATTATAAAAGGCTATAAGAAATTGTGTAGAAATTCGTGTGCTTTGGAGATCATTAAGTTTGATACGGAACCACCTTAATATTTACAAAACACACATTATATTTTCCTTTGATACATATTTTTTTTTTTTCATAAATTAAAATGAGAATTATCTATATAGAGTGTGGAAACATTTCAAAATCATGAGTTCAATAACGCTGACTCCGCCAGATAAATTATTAGAGACTAACGCAAAGCGGAGCGGCGACACACTGGCGCCTACAAACCTAACAGGGATACTTCACGCATTTCGCAACGCGTGAAGTATCCCTGTTAGGTTTGTAGGCGTCAGTGCGTGTTTCGCGCTGGCTGCGCGCCTGCCACGGCGCTTGAAGCATTTATTTCACACCAGAGGTATTGCACAGTATCATACAAAACTGAAGGCGCTCTAATATATTAGTAATGTCAGGCATCCATCAAAAGTACGGAACTTTCCTCGCAAAATAAATCAAGATACTACGGCCCAAAAAGAGAGCAGTATTCCAAAAACCCACTAAGTCCTAGCATCCGTAATTAGTAACGTTTAGCATACACTTTATCGCCTGGCTATTGCTTAGTCGCCATCGGCTTTAAAAGGCTATAAGAAATTGTGTAGCCGGCTATAGAAGCTATTGGAAATCTTTCAGCCGGCTGTAGGTCTATGGTATTTTGGAACACAGATTCTACTGCCAATTTTTACCAGGGCAATATCTGTTGCAGCAATAATATGAGGATTCCTCGCGTTAAGAGTTGAAACATTTTTGCACTCTGTAGTGAAAGAGAAAGTAATTATCGAAAAAAAGGTACTCAAACGCTGGAGTACAAAAAAGGCGGACGGTTTCAACGTTAATACGCTGGAGAGTGTTCACGGAATTGGACTGAGGAAGGCGATAGAAAGTCATATAGCTGGCTGTAGAAAGTGGAAAAAATCATACGGCCGCGCTACACGAAGCGATAAAAAATTAAACAGCCGGGCTATAGTTCTTGTCGCCGGGCTTTACACTTTATCGCCTGGCTGTTGCTTTTTCGCCATCGGCTATAAAAGGCTATAAGAAATCGTGTAGAAATTCGTGTGCTTTGTAAATCCGCAATTTTGTACGGAATCACCATATTATTTACAAAACGGACATTATATTTTCCTTTACTACAAATTTGTTTTCATCAATTAAAATGAGAATAATCCATACAGAGTGTGCAAACATTTCAAAGTCATGAGTTGAACAACGCTGACTCCACGAGATTAAATATTAGAGCCTAACACAAAGCAGAGCAGCGGCGCACTGGCGCCTACAAACCTAACAGGGATACTTCACGCATTGCGCAATGCGTGAAGTATCCATGTTAGGTTTGTAGGCGCCAATGCGCGTTTCGTGCTGGCTGCCCACCCGCCGCGCTGCGCCGCAGCGTACCACGGCGCTTGAAGCAACTATTTCACACCAGAGGTATTGCACAGTATCGTACGAAATTGAAGGCACTCCAACATATTAGGAGTGGCAGGCATCCTTCAAAAGTACGGAGCTTCCCTCGCAAAATAAAACAAGATACTACGGCCCAAAAAGAGAGCGGTAGGCCAAAAACTTACTAAGTCCTATAGCATCCGTAATTAGTAACGTTCAGCATACACGTTATCGTCAGGCTGTTGCTTAATCGTCATCGGCTATAAAGGGCTATAAGAAATTGTGTTGCCGGCTATAGAAGCTATTGGAAATCAAACAGTCGGCTGTAGGTCTATTGTATTTTGGAACACAGATTCTACTGCCAATTTTTACCAGGGAACAAGGGTGCCACTTGCCACTACTGCGGTGAATGACGTCAAAAATCCGACTTTTCAAAGTTCAATATCTCGGTTAATATTGAACGTAGAAAGTTGTTGTTTAGACCGATCATAATATTTTTAGCTAATTTACTGAGATCAAGCATCAACACACAATTCTGTGACCAGCGCAACTTACTTATTATTCAATATATCTTAAAAAAGGGAATAATGCTCGAAATGTGTCGATATATAGGTGAATGGAATTTAAGATTCAAGAGTCAAAATGAGCGTAGAAAAATACGTACAAGACAAGCAGACTTCGGTGTAATGGACGCTATTTGGGACGAGAACTAAATTGCCTATGCCTTCTGGATGAGCTTGCTCTCGGGTTAGGTAACATGTGGATTCTTCATATTCGACTGTGCCAGTGAAAGATGCTATCCGGCTCCCTGGCTGGAAGTCGAAAGAAGTACACGTTCTGACTAAGTTATTCGTTGCTGTTCGATCCCGCAGACATAATTCTTGACACTTCTCAAGAACTCTGAACGGAGGAGCTGTGTCTCTGACCTGTAAAAAATAAATAAATCAATTTAACAATTATAATTACAGAATCAATACTTTTTTTTTACAGCAACGAATTTTCCGGGAGCTTTTCTGTACAGTGCCATATAGCTGACCTTCTCTCTCGGTGGTGGTAAGTTGTTTACCGAACAACGTAAAGCATAGATTACAGTATCTAAATCAAGCACACTTTCTTGAGAATATACGAGAGGGTCATCTAGTAAGAATTCCGGTTACAGAGCCTCCCAAAATTTCGCCCCTTTTTCGGTATTCGATTCGACCATCGAACCAAGGTTTAAGTGGAAGCTTATAATAACGGAAAACTCAGGAAAAAATTTCAAGATGAGTATAGGAACCGTTTTANGGGGGGGGGGGGGGGGGGGGGGGCGGCAAAGGGGTCAAACTTCGACCTTATTTTCCGCTATTTCCTTGTTGAATTGATGTGTCTACGGGGTTGTTATCGTTGTTTACACATATCATACACACCGGTTCCTATTTTTACACGCAAAATCGAGTTTTAATGTTGACGAGTCGATATATTGATCGGTTAAATAGATTTTTTAAGATTCTTCACGGAAAATCGACGATTTGTTGATATTGAAATTGTTCATTTTTGATTCATGGATGACTAAATGCACCTAATATGACTGTAGTACACCGACACCTACGTATTTTTTCTTGTGGAAACAATTTTTAACGTTAACGAGTCGATATATCAATCGCTTAAATCAAATGTTTGCGATTTTTTAGGAAAATCAATGATATATCGATGGTGAAAGTGCAGAAGTGAGTATCTCGGAAAACACAATTTTTCAGGAGAGTAAAAAAACTGTCTACATTCCTCCCTATTGTCAGTAGAAGGGTAATAATTCTTGAGGATAGCAAGAATAACATGCTTTTTCACACTTCATCAATATTTTGAATAATTTCTCGCGCTGTTAGAAAATACGGCCGAAATGCCGAGATTCGCGTTTTCGGCACTAAGAATTAACACTTTATCACACTTTTTTACGAGATACGCATTTCTGCAATCAGTGTTTTAAACCTATTGTTAGCGGATTTTGATCATTTAAAAACTGAAAATGTTTACAATTGACAATGTTTACAATGCTTTCATGTTTACAATTCTTTATCAGAAGCCTCAGTTTGACCTCATACGGCCGGATCAAGCATTGTATGATTGGAAACTGACATTAGATTACGAGATACGCATTTCTGCAATTAGCGTTTTGAAGCTAAGTACTCTTGATCATTAAGATTAAAAATAGACTTTATTCAACCTTAAAACTTATTTAGAAGCTTTAGTCGATCCAATACACTAAATGAAGCATTGTTTGACCGGATTGACTCTAATAAAACTGACCGTTGTGATGAACCATCAGTTCAATCAGTTCATGATTGCATTGGCCCAGAGAGTAAAAATGGACATGAACGCCGCGCGCTGCTAGTAGGTAGTAGATACTTATGAAGAAATGATACTGGAAGGCCCTCGGGTGATAATCCGCCTTCAATTACAAGCGTATGCAACATTAATGACAAGCAACAGTACCTAATCCCCCCCTTCCCTCGTCTATCGGTCTATCACCAGCATTCACTGATATTATGCATGCTGGACTGCCTGATCATCCACATTTATCCACATCAACTTTCCTTTTAGATACATAAATGAAAACCATTAAAAACAAACACAGAACAGCTGATCAGCTGATGTGCGGTGTTGGCGGGAAACACTGCCGAGGAGCGCGCGTTGTGATTGGTTGTGCGTAAGGCGCGCCGAAAAATTAACAGGCCTGAACGAGATACGCATTCCTGCACTTAAGCCCGAGATACGCAAAAAAAGTTCCACGGTTTTAGGTGACTTCCCGATTTTTTTCGATTATAATCTCTCGCTGGCTGATAGACGACATCTTCAACTATACACGTTTATGCAGATAACTCAAAACTGTCAAAAATCGAGGTACGCACTTCTTGAGTTTTCTGTCATTATAAGCTTCCACTTAAACCTTGGTTCGATGGTCGAATCGAATACCGAAAAAGGGGCAAACTTCAGCCCTTATTTTGGGAGGCTCTTTCTCGCACACGTAGTAATACTAGGAAAAAAACTAATCGTGGCATTGAATTCAGTATACTCATAGCTTCAATTTAAACCCAATTTTTTTTTAAAAATAATGCATCAAAATATTGTAGGAATCACGTCAGAGACTTTAACGCAAGGTTAGAAAAGTGGACATTCCGATTAACAACAGTTGCTTGAGGCAGAGACATTAGTTATTTAAAAGTTTCATCATGTTGAACCACATGAGGGATCGCCAAGGCGGCAAAATACAGGAATCACCTCAGAGACTTTAACGCAGGTCAAAAAAGCAGGCGCACTGACAAACACGAGTTGCTTGACGCAAAAAGTTGTGTCTGTTGACAAAGAGCCTTATGCAAAAACGGCCAAATCCCCCATAGCTCCGATTGCTTCCATTTTTTAGTATGCTATTTCACCATAACAAAGGGCCCCGTTTCTGATAATTTCAAGTCCAAAAAAAATTTTCCCGCGCTTTGGCGGCGTTGCCAAGTTGCAACCTTAAAAATTCGATAACTTTTGAACCAATTGAGTTATTGATCTGCGGTTTGCGCTCAAATTCTTTAAAAATTATGAACTTTTGTTTTATGTATGATTTTTGGATGGAACGTAAGATTAAACTTATGATTCACCTCTTTTTTTGGATTTTTGATCCGTCGAATTTTACATGTTCGTAAATACCCAAAAAATCTATTTTTTGGTTTTAAAAAAAATATGCCCAATCGATTTCTCGTCTGATTCCGCATCTATCGATATGTCATACTTGGCGGGGAAACGATTGGTATAGAAGTTATGACCATTTTTATACGCGGGTTTCGACGCGCCGAACCCATTACGCACCGTTACAGCCGTCCTGGGCTCCTCGCCGCGTGGCCTATAGCGACTGGTTCATCGACTTTACTCAACTTTTTAGTTTTAACTGACTTGCTCAAGAAATAATTTGTAATAATAAAGTTTTTGTGCCCAGTGATTTGTTGTTCTAACCCATAGTTAATAGCCAGTTGCTTAAGTGTCAGAGACCATCCAGGCAAACGAATAATGTAAAGTAAGTAGAAAATGACTGAGATAAGTGACTGTTCGAAGCTGTGACGGAAAGAGAACTGATATTTGGGCTACATTTTGCAATAAGGAACTAGAATTATCGGCTCATTTAAGAAACAACGTATGTGCCATTAGTTTCTTTATGCAAATAAGTGCTTTTACGGATAGGTCAGAAAGTATGGTACCTCATGCCAGAATGACGTTTATTTAGCGAGAGATATTAGTAAGCATACCTGCGGGGTTATTAGGAAGTATTAATTACCTTTGGATCGATTAGAAATCTGGGATTAGATAGACAAAAGTTAGTTCGCAGTGCAGATAGTGCAAATAATGTCGTCAGGAATAGACCTCTATTTCGAAAAAATGATACTGTAATTACATAAATCTATTCTTGAACGAAACTTATAGTATCTGTGAAGCTCTTTAAAATGATGGATATCGATGAAGATTATTAGCGTAACTTGAAATGGATATTTATACGTATTAATTGAGAACGACAATATTCAAAAGTGGGAAAACGTAACATTACAATCTTCTTTTTCATCGCAACGGAATCAGTGGCGTGGCATGAATTGCGATTTATCGATTGTTATGCCATTTAAACCTACGTAAAAGGATCGATTCTTTACCATAGGTTTAGATGGCATAACAATCGATAAATCGCTATTCACGCCACGCCACTGTGAGGTTCGGTATACTCCGTTTTCCGCGAGAGATGAGGATTTTGTATGATACCACTATTTTAACGCCAGTGCGCGCGGCTGGTATCGCGCTCAAATTGAAGGCGCACAATCGTGAGAAGAGAACAAAAGTGAGGGCGGATACAGCTTTAAAGTGAAGTATTCAGCTGCCGCTTCTTGTTTTCTGCCTTCAATTGTGTGATTCAAATTTGACCCTTTTGATCATACAATTACTTGTTTGCGATTGAAGTGCAATCAGTGTTCGAAACTCACTTTTGAGTTTCAGGAGCCATGTGCATCAAGCCCGATTTTTAGGCGCCATTGAAGATTTTTTACTCAATACTCTTGATACGCGCGTTATTTGATTAGGAACGGTTGTTGGAATAATTATTTTTAGCGCAACTCTTACTCGGAAATGGATAAACCACGATATTTTAATACGCTAGTATAGACAAAAACTATTTGTCTTTAAGCTTTGTATACCTCTGTACTAAAACGAAAATAAATTAAATTTAACAATTCAACAACAACAAAATGATATTCTTGGACTTTTTCAGAGCATCCGCGGAAAAAAAGCTTGTATGCGGAGACAAAATTCGAGAAGGTCAATTGGACTGCATTCTGCAATTAGGAACTACAATTTCTGGCTCTGTTCAGGAACAACGTATGTGCCATTAGTTTCCCTATGAACAAAAGTGTTTTTACGGATGATGCAGAAATTGTTGTTCCAAATTGCAAAATGGAGTCCAATTGGATTTACCTGACTTTTTTGCGACTATCCTCCTTCTCTCCTCCTTCCCTATTCCTCCTTTCCTGATCTTCCTTTTTTGTTTTGGAATATCCAAGCAAAAAATTAGCTTGCATCGGAGACACAATGTGGGGCGATGAATTGGACTGCATTCTGCAATTACGAACTAAAATTTCTGGCTCTGTACAGGAACAACGTATGTGCCATTAGATTCCTATGCACGAAAGTGTTTTTGCGGATGATGCAGAAATTGTTGTTCCAAATTGCAAAATGAATTCCAATAATTGGATTTACCTAACTTTTTTGCGACTTACGGAATATCCAAGCAAAAAATTAGCTTGCATCGAATATACATCAAAGGTCGATTGGACTGCATTTTTCGATTGAGAACTACGATTTCTGGCTTAGTTTAGGAACAACGAATGTGCCATTAGTTTCCCTATGCACAAAAGTTTTTACAAATGAG